GGGGGCGGAAGGCGGGGAAAGGTAGGTGGGGGCGGAAGGCGGGGAAAGGTAGGAGGGGGCGGAAGGCGGGGAAGGGTAGGTGGGGGCGGAAGACGGGGAAAGGTAGGTGGGGGAGGAAGGCGGGGAAAGGTAGGAGGGGGCGGAAGGCGGGGAAAGGTAGGAGGGGGAGGAAGGCGGGGAAAGGTAGGTGGGGGCGGAAGGCGGGGAAAGGTAGTTGGGGGCGGAAGGCGGGGAAAGGTAGGTGGGGGCGGAAGGCGGGGAAAGGTAGGAGGGGGCGGAAGGCGGGGAAGGGTAGGTGGGGGCGGAAGACGGGGAAAGGTAGGTGGGGGAGGAAGGCGGGGAAAGGTAGGAGGGGGCGGAAGGCGGGGAAAGGTAGGAGGGGGAGGAAGGCGGGGAAAGGTAGGTGGGGGCGGAAGGCGGGGAAAGGTAGGTGGGGGCGGAAGGCGGGGAAGGGTGGGAGGGGGCGGAAGGCGGGGAAGGGTGGGAGGGGGCGGAAGGCGGGGAAAGGTAGGTGGGGGCGGAAGGCGGGGAAGGGTGGGAGGCAGTGTTTCTATCTTCCCTCCAGGGCGATCGTGGAACCCCACGATAAGTGACGTTTTAGGCCCAAATTTTTCGACAGCCCTCACGGTCGACCCCTGAAATTTTTCGTATACGATCCGGGGCCTCCCAAGGGCCTATTTTTTCGAAAACCTTTTTCGAAAAGGGGCTGCTAGGTTTTCGTGCCTTGACCAGCGGTACTACATCAGCCTAATGGAAGGGCCCAATTCACGACGTGCCCGTACCCTAAAGTGTAGCGCAGCGCTTCTGCTAGCCTTAACCCTGTGCTCTCTTGGGGGTCGGTTTTCCCCCCCGACCTACTCACGCGCCCACGGTGGTTCCTTTTGTGCTAGTGGTGTGCCGTCAGCCACTAGAAGTGGAAAGACCTTCCCCCTCATCACCCCACTTACCTTGGCCGTGAAGGATCCCGGCTGCTGCTAGCTAACCCCAACGGTAATTGCGACCCGCACCGCCACGGTTATCATGCTAGGGTCCGCCAACGCTTTACCTTACAAGGCAGCCTGGCAGCAGGGGCGACAGCCGATTGTTGTAAGCATTGCATGCTTTTACACTTGGCGTGGTGTCGATTTAGACACGCGTTCTGGGCGTTGTTGTAACGCTCAAAGCATTCAGCGTTTGCCCACCTGAAAGACGCATACGTCCACATTTGCGCCCAGCTTTTATTAGGAACTTCTTAAACATTGCTTGTTTGCTGCAGAATATCAAGCCACAGGCAAATCGCATGACATAAATGTTCCCGCCAAACCACAAGTAAGGCTATTCTGTGCTCGCAGTTGGACAAGCTTATTACAGTAAGGTTGAACACAAAAGCTAATAGTCATTGCCGGCGTGTAATTCATGGTCGCAGTTCTTGCATGTACGACACCCTTGGTATGCCAGCCACGGCTAGAGGTATTCCCCCAAGAACCAGGTTGGTCTTGGCCTCTGCGGTGCTCGGCAATGAAGCAAGGGGAGCCACATCAATGCAGCACTTTGCACTACTGCACTGTCTGCGCCTTAGAAGACCCCTGGGACCATTCTGCTCCCAGGGCCCCCCCGCATGCAGGACTGCCATGTACGAGTGTTAACGGGTGTCCCCCTACCTCTTCATTACTTCACAGCTTTGGTTAGGAAGGAACAATAAGCACAGGTATAGGTAGCAGTATACGTGCATTGGCCATGTGTGGCGTAGAAGTTCCATGTACCCAACCAGCTAACATATGTAGGTCAGGGGTGCAGCAAGTTGGTAACAAGTTGCCTTACTTGTTTTTCCCTAGTTGGGGGTTGTGCAATGTTCCCGATACTCGTGCGGTGTATGTGCCCAAACCCTGCCATGCACAAGCTACCCCTCCTAACGTTTAGCATGGTTTGGCTCAGCCAGGTTCCCGATATGCCGCTCTAGCCATAACCATAACAACAAAAGGTTGAGCCCACAAAACCAGGTATCTGTGCCCTGTCTGTGCCATTGGAGGCTGGGAAAAACTGAACTGGGCAGGCTCGGCGCGTGCCTCCAGCTCCGGGTTTCGGACCGTGAGGCAAAAATGTGAGCGTCGATCCCACGATCTCAAGATGTTTAGCAACTTTCATCGTGAGGCTCTACGATTACCAGCCCTGAAAATCTCAAAGAACGTTGACGATTTTGGTCATTTTCCGCCTTATGAAATGTGCCATTTTCAGATATTTTTCGAAAAAACGAAGTAAGATAGAAACGCTGGTGGGAGGGGGCGGAAGGCGGGGAAGGGTGGGAGGGGGAGGAAGGCGGGGAAAGGTAGGAGGGGCGGAAGGCGGGGAAAGGTAGGAGGGGGCGGAAGGCGGGGAAGGGTAGGAGGGGGAGGAAGGCGGGGAAAGGTAGGAGGGGGAGGAAGGCGGGGAAAGGTAGGAGGGGGAGGAAGGCGGGGAAAGGTAGGTGGGGGAGGAAGGCGGGGAAAGGTAGGTGGGGGCGGAAGGCGGGGAAAGGTAGGAGGGGGAGGAAGGCGGGGAAAGGTAGGTGGGGGCGGAAGGCGGGGAAAGGTAGGGGCGGGTAGGAGGGGGCGGAAGGCGGGGAAAGGTAGGAGGGGGCGGAAGGCGGGGAAGGGTGGGAGGGGGAGGAAGGCGGGGAAAGGTAGGTGGGGGAGGAAGGCGGGGAAAGGTAGGAGGGGGCGGAAGGCGGGGAAGGGTAGGGGCGGGTATGTGATGGATATGTGGTGGCGTGTGTGAGAGGGAGAAAATTATAAATAAGTGCAACAACACAGGGGTAGGTAAGGGACGTGAGCAGGAGGGTGGGTGGGTGCGGGATAGGCGAGGGCGGGTGCCGGAAGGAGGGGTAGGTAGGGGGGTCGGTGGGAAGGACGGGTAGGTGGGGAGCGGGTGCAGGGTAGGTTGGTTGGGTGTGGGAAGGAGGGGGTGTGGGAGGGGGTGGGTTGGTGGCGGGAGGGAGGGGTACAGGCATGCTGCGGACTGTCTGGGGCTGCCCAGGCCCCAGGATCGCATTAGACGACTTCTAACCGACTTCCCAGTCTTTTATATTTCCTCCCATGTGGCGCAATGGTCTGTTGGGGCCTGCGCACGGGCCAACTAGGCGCATGCTTTGCCGTACCACACATCTGACTCAAGTGTCCCACGAATACGACAGCAGTTCTGCCGTGCCAACCTTACCGTCCACCGCAACGCATCTGTGTCGTTAAGAGGCTTGACTAGCCTCACTGCTTCGGCTGCGACCGGATGCCCGCTACTGCTACAGTCCCATGGGTCAGCTGGCAGTAGACCAACCCGCTGCCGGTAGAATAGCTGTGCCGGTAAACGGGAGTGACACAGGGGCCTAGCAACAGTAACGAGTTGGATCCATGTCTTGCACATGCTTCCATAACAATACCGGTATTTCTTGTACAAAATCGCCGTATCGGATTGCCGTACAGAGTTACCCCGATATGCACCGAGTCCCAGCGAAGTGTGCAGCTTTTGCGCCCGCACGCACGGGGCCACACGCCAACAGCAGCACCAGGCACCGGCTCAAACAGCAACAGCTCCCGGCAATACCTCCCAACCACAGCAGCACTCGGCGCGGCCAACTGCCTCGCGACATCTCTTGTTTCTGCAACAGGCGTACAACGGAACAGCTACTGGCGGTGATCGTACGGCAGCAAGACCCCGTACTCGTACGAACATGAGCGTACACATGTAACGTATTCATAACTGCAGACAGGGAAAGCACAAACACATGCTGCCTTGCAAAAGACCAACACAAATGTCTAACAAGCATGGAAGGGTGCGGCAACAATGCGTACGAGCAATCATCGGGGGGACGACAAACCCCGTCATATGAGACATGCAAGCGTTTGCCAAATGGGTGCGTGCAGGTTAAACCTATTCAACGTCCTAAACATGATGCGCCAACGGCCAGTCCTGCCGTCAATCGTGCGTGGTGATGCAATCAGCAGAAGCACGCAGGTATGCGTCAGCTGCATGCGCGTCTCAGCTTGCTTGCTTGCAAAGTCGGGATGTCGCCATATCCTCTGCTTATTCCAACCGGACATGCATGTGCGCACATGGGGTTAGTACAGCAATGCACCGTACGGGGCCCTGCCAGTACCCTCGTGCCAGTACCCTCGGGCCAGTAGGACACATCCACAAGATGATGAGAGCACTGCCCACTGCTACCGTACCTACTGCCTCCCCACTGCTCCACCTCACTGCGGACACCTGGAGGCCGTACGACACCGCTGGCACATGCAAGAGGCCATGCAAGAGGCCACGCAACCGCCTGTCCGGCGTTGCTACATAAGATGGTGCAGGTGACAAGAAGCCAAACCGGCACATACCGGCTGCCGTACTACTACAACTACCACTCGAGTACCGTACACTACCAGTACCCTTCCGTGCTCCTCCCTTCTCTCATGCTTCACGGACGACACCCCCTCCCCTCCCTGGGGAACAACATGCCGCCCAACCTGCCACAACCCGTTGCCAGTACCCCATGGCTTGCATGGCTTGCATGATTCCGCACAGCCGAGCAGTACCCTCCTCCCCTTCTCCTCCCCTCCTCCTCTCTCCCCATTCCAACACACCCTTCCCCCCGTCACTCTTCCCCTCCTGGCCGCTTCCGCGCACCGCCACTCGACCCGCTGCCGCCACCTCCACCTCCCTCCCCTGCTTGCCCTCCCACCTCCTCCCCTTCCCCCTCCTCCCCTGCCGCCTGCATGCCCCTGCCTCCCCCCCTGCCGCCCCCCAGCTCCATCCCCCCCAGCCGCGCTGCCAGCCCCTGCACGCAGCTCCTCAGGGCGGCCGAGTCGGTCCACTCGGAGCACACGGCGGGGCGGAGGGCGGCGGCGGGCCACACCTGGGGGCGGGGGGGACACAGAGGGGAACTCAACAAAGGGAAACGAGTACCGGGGCCGGGTTACGTAACTACGGACGTTCCTTGGTTTCCCACTACGGGAACGTTTACTTGGGCTGGCCCTTGAGAATTATGTAGTAGCCCTCTGCGGCCGTGAGCGGTGCGGCGGTGCGGCCGCCGCAGGTGTGTGCGGGAGCGCAGGACAGAACAGCAGGGGCTGCTGCTGCCACCTCCCCAAGCGGATGGGAGCATGCCATGCACCCCCCCATGCCATGCACCCCCGGGTGCCAGCATGGACGCCGGGGTGGCCGCATGACAACCAAACAAGTGCGCCCCAGCCACCGGGAATGCAGGTAGGTGCCCCAGCCCGCTCCGTACCCGCTCCAGGGCCCTGTGCAGCACCTCCACAGCCCCGTGGTCGCGGTAGTAGCGGTTGAAGGGTGACAGGTCCGACAGGATAACCTGCGGACCAAAACTCCCCACACGGGTGCATGTAACTACACACAGAGACACGCATGCAGCGCGGATACAAAGGCGGTATCACGCAAGCAGCCCCACTCCCTACCCATGCCCGGTCCCTACCCCGGCTTGCTTGCCGCAATGCATGTCGCGCTTCCTTCTCCTTCGCCCCCCACAACCCAGCAGCCCAGCAGCCCCGCTATGCATGCCCCGCGGCCCCTTGCTTCCCCCGCCTCCACCCCTCCACCCCTCCCCACCCACCTTTCGCGGCCCCTCCTCCTCCAGCAGCCCCCACCGCTCCACCTCCTCGAGGTACGCCGCCGCCTCCTCCTCCGCCCCGCAGCGGCAGGCGGTGTGCAGCGGCAGCCAGCCGTCCTTGGTGGCCGCCAGCAGCACATCCGCGTCGGCACGCGGCAGCAGCCAGCGCAGTACGACAAGGAAATGGTGCCTAGGGAGGGGGGCGGGCAGGTGGGCAGGCGAGGGGAGGGGTCAGCGACCTTCGCGTGGGAAGTCATGACGGGAGGCGGAGGGGCCGGCAGCCAGCACCGCACGTCCGGCTAGCGGCAGACGTGTGCACGGGTAGTTGGTGGCAGTTCGGAGGTGGGTGCGATGCGGGTGCGATGGTGCGTGGGTAGCTGGAGCAGATTGCCGCATGCCTGTACGTGTCAGTTACTGTCCGTGACTGTTGCTGTCAACCTTGTCTTACCGCGGGTGCAGCACACCACACACACCCCTCCACCACACGACAACCGCCTGCCTACTGTGACCTCCTCACCTCCTCCCGCAACCCGTTTCCCCCCTCCATATCCCCCCTTCACCCCCCCTTTACCCCCTCCCCCCCCACCTGCAGGCGGTGTGCAGCGGTGTGTCCCAGGACTGCGTGTCCTGCTGCAGCATCAGCGGCTTCAGCACCCGCCCGCCCGCACCCGGACCCGCACCCTCCCAGCATGCTCCACCGCTGCTGCCACTGCTGTCCAGCCCCCCTCCTCCTCCTCCTCCTCCTCCTCCCCCTGCATCTGCACCCGCCGCCTCCCCGCCGCCCACCGCCAGCAGCAGCCGCTCCTCCAGCACCGCAAACATCTGCACCACCTGGCGCTGCAGACCCTCCGACTGCCGCTGGGCCTCCGCATCCGCCGCTGCTGCCTCCGCCTCCACCGCCTCTTTCGCTGCGGCTGCCTCCGCCGCCTGCACCGCCGCCGCGGCTCTTGCGGCTATAGCGCTGCTGCCGGCGGCCCCCGCGGCCGCTGCGGATGCAGCCCTGAAGGCTTCTTCAGCCTCTGCCGCAGCCGCCCGAGCCCGCCGCGCCTTCTCCATCCGCTCCTCCGCCGCCTGCCGGAAGCGCTGCAGGCGAGTGACCGCCTCGTGCAGCACGATGTTGAGCAGGCCGAAGCCGTCGCAGTGGCCGTCCCGCAGCGCACGGAGGCGCAGGAGGTCGGGGCGGCCGTCGGCGCCGCGCATGCCCTGGGGCAGCGGGGTTGGGAGCAGGGGGTCCGGAGTGCGGGGTTGGGAAGAGCTCTAAGGCTGCAGCCAGAAGGCCATATGTATGCACATGAGGAGTGAGGCCAGGGGTTAAGTAAGGTAGGGGTACAGACGCCCATCCCTGGTCTGCCGGCCCTATTTCCGTGTGCCTCATATGCATGCCGCCACCATGGCCCCCTGCCCCCCCCTCACACACCTCCCGCCTCCCCTCCTGCGCCCCCACCCATGCCCCCACCTCATCCAGGAACACCCGCCAGAAGCTCAGCCCCAACCGCGAGTCCAGGAAGTGCCGAATGCACTTCACCGCCTCCTCCGCGTCCTCATGCGCCTGGGTCCGCGCCGACCCCTCCGGTATGCATGCCACGCCACCAGTGCCGCCACCACCAGCAGCAGCAGCGGTAGCACCAGCAGCGGTAGCGGTAGCGCAATCGCGGTTGGCTTCACCACCACCAGCACCAGCACCACCCCCGGCAACATCAGCTGCTGCTGCTGCACCGCCGCTGCCGTTACTCCCTGCGGCGCTGCAGGCTCCGCTGGCAAAGCCGCAAGCCGCCCCCCAACCGCCATCGCCGCCGCTGCCGTGGCTTCTGCTGCTGCTGCTGGTGCAGCCGCCGCCGGCAGCAGCGTGAGGGGCACAACCGCCCTCGCCGCTGCCGCCCGCAGGCGCAGTAGCTGTGCGCTGCCGCCTGCCGGACCGCCCTCCGGCCCCAGCAGCAGCGGAGCCGGGGGGGCAGCTGCCAGCAGCAGCAGCCAAGCCGGGTGGGGCGGCAGCGGGGGGGCAGGTGTCGGGGGTCCTGCAGGTGCCGTTGCCGGGCCTCAGCGGATGCACCGTGTACCTGGGGGGGAGCAGGGGCGGGGAAAAATTAAATATGTGAAACAACGCAGGGGCGGGGAGGGCGGGTGGGCAGCAGGGGCGGGGAGGGCGGGTGGGCAGCAGGGGCGAGGAGGGCGGGTGGGCTAGCTACACAGCCCAATGCGTCGCCCACAGGCGCGACTTAACTCCGTGCCGTGAACCATCTACTCCGGTGCCTGCCAGAGTGTCAGTGCTTCACGCAGGTTCACCCCAGTGCGGCCAGCAACCGCAACATCCTGGCTTGGCAGCATCCCTGGGGCAGCCACCCCGGTTGCCCATACCGTGCATGTGTACCCACTCAGGCTTCTCCCCACCCGTTAATACGGTTTGTACTTTGGTTGCTGCTACTGACCCAACAAGTACCATACCTTCACAATATCATCGCGCAAGAATAAATAATTATTTCGGAAAATGCGCAGTTTCGCGCAAATTTAAATAATTGCTGTGAGGGGTGCGCGAAACTGGGGACCCTTCCCCGCACCCCCAACATGCCCCAGCACCCCGTCAGCTCCGCTGTCCAGCCCCGGGCTGCATGCTAGTATGCCCCATGGAAGATGTAGCGATATATGTAAAGATGTCTTGGCGATCTGGGCTTACACGGATGGGTTCTTACAGTCAAAATGCAGTGGTGGACATGAGCTGCGCGAAGCTGAAAAATAATTCCTGACACCCCTGCTTGAAGCTGAAAAATCATTCCAATTAATGGGGCTGCGCGATGATCACGTGAAGGTACGGTATGACCCAACCGCAATCGCAATCCTGTATACCCGCCAACTGCGGAATGCACCCCGCTTGCGTCGGCATGCGCAAACCTACCAAGCGGGCCACGTCTCGCCGAAGTGTACGGTGACCCTTTCCTCCGTGATCCCCCGCGGGAACCAGGTCTCCCACAGCTTGCCGCCCGTGCCGTCGCTCCCCACCACCTTGCGCTTCCTCTTCTGCTCCAGCTTGCCCTCCGTCGGCTCCTTCGCTCGCACCCCAACACAGAACACCAGGAGCTCCTTGTGAACGGTGTGCAGCGGGTGGTTGTCGCTCCTGCAGTTGTTATTGGACACATCGTGATGACGCAAGCAGTGGTCCAGCGCCTCCGTAAGCAGGTACCAGCGATCCGGAACCATGGGTCCGTTGCCGACGTCAACGGCCACCACATCCACGACTGGTCCGCCCTCCCCGGCTGTCGGCAGCGGCAGCAGGTGGCGCAACCTCGCCTTGCTGAAGCCCCCATTGTTTGTCAAGTACGGCGTTCCATCAAGCTTCTGGGGCCCAATGAACTCGTACGGCTGTGCTGCAGCCACTGCGGACACCGCAGCAGCAGCCGCGGCATCGCCGCTGCCATTGGCGCCCCAGGTGCTGCCGCCGCCGCCCTGAAAGCGGGTTCGAAGCTCTTCATGCGGCAGCCGCGCATGCACGGCGATGTGCTTACCGGGGGCTGGTCCCAGGCTGCAGCCCCCACCCAGCCGCCCCCCTGGCGCCAGGCTGGCAGCACTCATGGGGGACACCTGGGTCTCGGGTGCGAGGCCTGGGAGAGCTGGCGGGTTTTGGGCCCACTGCCGCCACGTCCCGTAGCCCCCTCTGCCGCCTGCAAGCAGCAGCTGGTAGAGATGGCACAGCATGTTGACGGGGTCGAGCCAGGGGCCGCCCTGACCCAGAGGTGCACCCACTGTTCCAAAACCAGGGGTCGCACTCATTGCCAGCCCAGGCTGCGGCATCCAAGGGGACGCCACGAAGCTGCCACCCATCCCAGAAGCTGCGCAAGGGGCTGAGGCTGCCGCTGCTTGGGGATGAGGCACATGCGCGGGTGCCGCGTACGCTGGCTGCATTGACGGTAGCGGCCCGAATGGCGTGTCCGGAGCAGTCACGGCGAAAGGGGCTGCTTGCTGCGAATCTGAGGCGTATGGGTCGCCCCACGCCTGGCCACCGGATCCAACGGGTGCCGGCGGTGGCCCTGCCGCGAGGGTGCTGCCGTCGGCCCCGTTGGCCGCACCTCCGGTTGCCGCAGCCGCCGGTCCAGGCAACGCACCTGAGCACCCCCCTACTTCCTGTCCTAGCAGCAGTTGATAGGAGCGGAAGTCCTCCGAGAGCGCCGCCAAGAGCTCATCCGAGAAATCTGCAGACGAGGGGTTGGATGCGGCCAGCGCGTCCTCAAGGCTGACCAGCTGGTCAGTGGGCTGGGTTGGCATGAATGTGTAGCACGCGTTACGGGTTTCCGTGTCCAATACCGGTACCTCAGCCACCTCAGCCCTGCAGTATCCGGGGAGGTCATCGGGTGCACGTAACGCAGTCAAGAAGCGAGGCCCGTTAGAGACATAAATGTTGCAAATGAGGTGAAACGATAGTCGTAACGGGGCGTTGCGAGCCCTGCAACGGACTTGTTGCAGGCGGGGTTTGAAGTGGTAATGCGTGTCAGCTGCCGCCCAGGGGCATACACTGCAAGCTTCCTAGCCGGGCTACAACTAAGTGTCAGGCGGGGTAAGGTCCAGCAGACATCAGGTCACCATCCTCACCATTGTTGTACGACTCCCCAGCAGTTGCCCTGGTCGCCAAGATTCCCTGCTTCGCGCCAGAGCGGAAGACTGTCAGCTTCAACAAACTCTGTCCCTAAAAAAAGCTTCAAACCAGCCGTCGGCATGTGATTCTACCTTCTATCTGTCGCAGTGTTGCTGCTGCATGTACTTTCACAGCCTACCTTCTTGGGGATACTCCTCGGGATTTCCAGTTATAAGGTTACCAACGACTTCGTCGGGCGATGGCTCGTCAGTGCCGTTGAAAGGTCTCGTACTGGAAAGCGACATGACGGGGACCGCTGCCCTGAAGTTCGTTCACTTCTATCAGCGCAAGATTATTCTCCGGAGCAATGGACAGCAGTGCTGTGCATATGCAAAAGTAAGTTTGGGAATACAGGTTCTGGAGCCAACGCTGTACGTTGATGCCCATGCAGTGCAGGTCACGTTTTATACGGGGCACTCTCCCTACAAGCGTGCTTGCTTTTCGCAGGGTGTTTTAGTGGGTACTTCGGCAATAGCTGCCGAACCCCTCGCCCGCAAAAAGTGCACTCTCGCTAAAAAGACCTATTGCAGCGTTTGTACCTAGAGTGACGGCAGGTTTTGTTTAATTTAATTCATTTTGGGCAAAGCGCACTCGTTACCGGATTTTGACAGCCGCCGTCAGGACAGATGTCTGTGGTGGACGTTGCTGAGGGCAAAGATTATTCTTTTCCCAAAGAGGAAGAGAAGATCTTGCAGCTCTGGGATCGCTTGGATGCCTTTAATGAACAACTGCGCCGGACTGAGGGCAAGCCGGAGTACATTTTCTACGATGGGCCTCCGTTTGCAACCGGGCTTCCGCACTACGGGCACATCCTTGCTGGAACTTTAAAGGTATACACCATAAGCAATGGTTTGAGAACCCTTCCGCCGTCGGCACCAGCGTAGTTGATTGCGAATTCGCCTCCAGTACTGGCCATAAGCATGTGTCGGACACACGGACTTCTGCTCGTAGGATATCGTGACCCGGTATGCGTCGGCGACTGGTCACCATGTGACACGTCGCTTCGGCTGGGACTGCCATGGCCTGCCGGTCGAGTACGAGATCGACAAGAAGCTTAGTTGAGTATTGCCCTCCTTCAGCCGTAGTGTCTTGCTTAGGTGTAAAACGATCGTAGGTATGGTTTTGTTGAAGTCGAGCACAAGTTGCAGTAACAGTGTAGCACGTCGACTGGGTTTTAGCGTCCAACCCACTTCCTTAGTGGCATGGTTACTGTCAGACCGACGGAAGCGGAACCAAAAAACACTGTCTGTGCCGCAAGAAAAAGGAGTTTTCTCCTTGAGAGAAACCCCCTTCAGACAACCCTTTCAACTTTCCTTCGTACTAACATTGACCCCTTTCTCCCTTGACACCACCACTTTGGGGCTGTCCTCCATCCATCCTCGCAGACGTCAAGACCCGTGACGACGTGTTGAACATGGGCATCGGAACCTACAACGAGGAGTGCCGCAGCATCGTCATGAGGTACGGCAGGGCCGGTTCGGGCATGTACGGAGACGTTGCCGTACGGATAGCAAGTGCCCGTGTTGTGAAGGGGAGCGAAACGCGTCTGGGTTGGGCGGCTGGCCGCGGCCCTGGATGCAGGACGTCTTGTACCCATTCGGCATTTTAACACGTTGCCCTTGTCCTAGTGGACAGCAAACGGTTCACAGCTACCCATGTAACCACGCCCATGGTTTTTAGCTTTAGCTGCACCTCCTTGCAGTGTTTGCCCGGGTGTGTTGTACAAGCATGTACAAACACTGCAAGCAGTTGCAGGACAGTTCATCACGACGAGCAAAACTACATGGGTAGCTGTGAGCCGCTTAAGCCGCCGCCCTACTGCCCGCCTTGTTCAACCCACAGCCGCCCTAACGCCCACCCCCCTCTCCCTTTTCCCCCCTCCGTCCCCTGCCCCGCCCCTGCCGCAGGTACTCGAAGGAGTGGGAGAAGACCGTCAAGCGGCTGGGTCGGTGGATCGACTTTGAGAACGACTACAAGACGCTGGACCCCTCCTTCATGGAGAGCGTGTGGTGGGTCTTCTCGCAGCTGTACGAGAAGGGGCTGGTGTACCGGGGGTTCAAGGTGAGGGAGGTTGGGGCGCTGTAGGGTGTTGATGTGTTGAAGTCTGTTGGGTCAACCCCAGGGGGTGAGGGTGGCAAGCGTGGTCTTGTTGAGGAAGCGGCAGTACTGGTGGCAAACGCGGGTTGGTTTATTCAAAAAATGGGTCACTCCTCCTTCCCAGACCCGTGGGTCTCGGTACACCTCCCGGACCTCACCGGCCCCCTCCACTGGGCATATAAATGTGCTCCTCCCTCCCCAGCTGCGCTCATATCTGCCCTCCCTCCCTGCCCGGCCCCCAGGTGATGCCCTTCTCCACCGCCTGCTCCACCCCGCTCTCCAACTTCGAGGCGGGCCTCAACTACAAGGACGTCAGCGACCCGGCGGTCATGGTGGGGCGGGGGGGAAGCGGGGGAAAAGGGGGGCCAGATGCTATTGTTTCCACGGTTTCCAACAGTACCCTGGTTGCCATCGCTGCCTTCGCTCCGCCCCGCTGCCCCCTGTGGAGCCTTGTCACATCACATCACGCTTTAAGTTTCTTCAACACCTCCCCCCCCCCTCCCCTCCCCCCCAGGTGTCCTTCCCCGTGCTGGGCGACCCCGACGGCGCCAGCCTGGTAGCCTGGACCACCACCCCCTGGACGCTGCCCTCCAACGTGGCGCTGTGCGTGCACCCGGAGCTGTCGTACGTCAAGGTGGGGGAGGGGTTAGAAGGGGGGAAGTGTGGGAAGAGGAAGCAAGGGGATTCTAGGCAAGTCGGCATGCAAGCATCGTAAGTCACTGTTTATTTGTCCACCGGGTGCCGCTACACAGCAATTACATTTGGCCAAATGCGTTTCACAGCGCCTCCGCTCTCGGCCCCCCCTCCCACGAGTTGGGACATGGGATTAGGACTTCACCTGTCATCCTTTATGCATCCCTCCTACACCCCCCCCCAGGCTCGCGACAACGAGAAGGGCAAGGTGTACATTGTGGCGGAGGCTCGGCTGCACGCACTGCCCGGGGCCGTGCCCAAGCCCAAGAAGGGGGCGAAGAAGGTGGGGGCGGAGGCGCAGGGTGGGGGGGGGGTAAAGAGGGTGTTTCATGGGGCTGGGATGTTAGGGGCCCGGAAGGTGAGTCGGGTAATCCGTGTCAGTGAGTGGGAGTGGAGCAGTTCCCCGTGCAGTTGGTCCCAGCTCATGCGCGCCTCCCAAACCCCGTCCGTCCCTCCCCGCCCATAGTGTAGCCCTGTCATACGGTTAGTGGGTTTCTCTATCCCTGCCTATTAAACTATTCCCCTGCTGCATGAGCACAAGCACCAGGGCGGCTCGTTTTATCGAACACCACCACCATCCATCTCCAACCCCTCACACCCCCCCCCCCCTCCTCCTCCCCCCCAGGACGACAAGCCCGAGGGCGGGTTCGAGGTGCTGTCCCGGCTGCCGGGTCGGGAGCTGGTGGGCCTGCGCTACCAGCCGCTGTTCCCCTTCTTCGCCCCCCTGGCGGCCGCGGAGGGGGCGGCCAAGGGCGCCTTCAGGGTGGTGGCGGACACGTACGTCACGGACGACAGCGGCACGGGTGTCGTACACCAGGTGGGGGGGGGCGGGGGGAAGGGTGGGAGTGAGGTAAACCTTTACAGCACGGGCAGGGTGCATACGAAGAGGGGCGGGAGTCCTCATTATGAGTGACGCAATTTCCGGCCTGGCCGCTGTTGTGTGGGGACTTGGGGAAGGGAAGGGAAGGGAAGCAGCCGTGGAGGCCGGGTACCGCTGCTTGGTTGCCGGTTAGTTCCGCTGCCCTGTAGAGCCCCATGGTATACCTACTACCCCACGCAATCCCTGCACTCCAGCCTAATGCGGAATACCCACACCCACCCCCCCCTCCCCCCCCCCCTCCCCCCTCCTTCCAGGCTCCCGCCTTTGGCGAGGACGACTACCGCGTGTGCCTCCACAACGGGGTGTGCGAGAAGGGCGACTCGCTGCCCTGCCCCGTGGACCTGAACGGCAGGTTCACGGAGGAGGTGCCGACGTTCAAGGGAATGTGAGGAAGGGGGGAGGGGGAGGGGGGGGTATTTCGCAGGGGGCAGTTAAGTTTTGGATTGCGTATCGTGTTCGGGACGGAAGGTCAAGATGGTTGGGGGCTTGGTCAACACAGGGGTCGGTATCCTCCTCTAAAATCATCCTACCCCACCCCAAACCACCCCGCCCCTCCCCACCTCCTCATTCCTTCCTTACCCCAACCCCCCCTCTCCCCCTCCCACCCCCCAGGCACGTCAAGGAGGCCGACAAGGACATCATCGCGTCCATCAAGGAGGCGGGTCGGCTGGTGGACCACTCCTCCATCACCCACTCGTACCCCTTCTGCTGGCGCTCCGACACGCCGCTCATCTACCGCGCAGTGCCCTCCTGGTTCGTGGCGGTGGAGAGCATCAAGGAGCGGCTGCTGCACAACAACACGGTACCTGGGGGGGGAGGGAGGGATAAGGAGGGGGGATGGGGGGGCGGATAAGAGGGAGAGATGGAGAGCATTGTCGAAGCGGAAACCAAAGCAGAAGGCTCCCCCCTTCCTGCCTTCACTAGATGCCCCACACTGACCCCACCTCTTCTTCCCCTCCTCCCCTCCCCCCAGCTGACCTACTGGGTGCCCGCCTACGTGAAGGAGAAGCGCTTCCACAACTGGCTGGAGAACGCGCACGACTGGGCGGTCAGCCGCAGCCGCTTCTGGGGCACCCCCATCCCCATCTGGGCCAGCGAGGACGGGGAGGAGATAGTGTGTGTGGGCTCCAAGGAGCAGCTGGAGCAGCTGACGGGGGAGAAGGTGGGGGGGGGAAGGGAAGGATGGGAGAGGCATTGTGGGAGGATCCGGGCGGGTGTTGAGAGATGCTTCTCAACTTACGCTGATCAGACTTGTTGGTTGAAAATGTGGTGGTGGCTGGGCTGGAGGCTGGAGGCTCTTCACCCTTCCCCGCTCCCTGTCCTGTTACACTCTGTTACACTCTGCCGCCTCCTTTCCCAATTACTTTGCCCTAAGTCGTGGTTTTCCACGGTTTATTTCCATCTCTTAACCCCACCTCCTTCTCCCCCTCCCTCCTTCCCTCCCCCCCCCAGGTGACCGACCTGCACCGCCACTTCATCGACCACCTCACCATCCCCTCCTCCCGCCCCGGCCACCCGCCCCTGCGCCGGGTGGATGACGTGTTCGACTGCTGGTTCGAGTCGGGCTCCATGCCGTACGGGCAGCTGCACTACCCCTTTGAGAACAAGCAGCTATTCGAGGCCAACTTCCCAGCGGACTTTGTGGCGGGTGGGTGGGGGGAAGGGGGGGGGGTAGGAGCGTTATTGGCGTTTCTTTTGATGGGTGTTGGTGGCCCAAACGAGGATGTTGGGGTGGATCTCTGAATCCGCTGTAGCTATCTTCCGCTCCATATATATGCCAGCGATTGCGCGCTGCGTTGGCAGCGAGCAATCGACCCGGATCCCCTCCTCCCTTCGCATCCATCGCGTAGTGACCCCCCCCTGCATCCATGCGGCCTGCTCCCTCTTCCCCTCCCTGCGCAGAGGGTCTGGACCAGACCCGCGGCTGGTTCTACACGCTGATGGTTCTGAGCACGGCGCTGTTCGACAAGCCCGCCTTCAAGCACCTGGTGTGCAACGGCCTGGTGCTGGCGGCGGACGGCAAGAAGATGAGCAAGCGGCTCAAGAACTACCCGGTAGGGGAGGGAGGGAGGGAGGGGGGAAGGGGGGGAGGCTTATAGGTAGCAAGTGTGGGAGCTGTGGAAGCTGGGAAGGTGATGGGATAGGTAAGAGGGAGGGGAGGAGTGGAGAAGGGAAGGAGCCTCCCCCGTTGCTGTGATGAAGGGAAAGGAGAGGGCCAGAATTGGGGCTGCACAGGGTAGCGGCTTTGGGTTTTGTGGCTGAGGAGGCGAGCAAGCGTCTCGGGAGCGGGAGGTGAGGGAGCCAGGGAGGGAGCGAGGGGTGCCAGCTGTTGCGGGTACACGTATACCGGCGAACAAGGAACGGATACTAGAAGCTGCCTAGGTAGGGGGGCACTAGGTAGGCACGTGTACGCAATCATAGCACCATGAAGGCCCACCCTAACCCATGCGCACATCCTCACACCCACACCCACATACGACGCATGCAAGGGAACGGCGGTGTAGCCGGCTCTGACAGGGGCAGCGCCCGGGGCCTCTGTCCCACCCTCCAGTGGCGTTGTCAGCGGCCCGGGGTTTTCCCGGGTCCACCCCTTCCGGCCTCTCACCCCACCGCCACAGCAACACACCGGCCTCATAGTACCGCGGTGCGCGGAACCCCCTGTCCCGCCGCGGCCTCCGTGTGCCGGGACAACACATATGCTATCGAAGGCTGTCGTACACTCCTCACTACTCACTAGTGCGTTGTTTCCCACACACATGCATGTATTCGACCGTCTGTAACACGTTTGGTCATTTGCACATGGAGCAATGCCGATGACGTTGCATGTGGCCGCCTCCACCCTGCATATGCCCCTAATTGCACCGTGGGCCTCGGCAGCACATGCCCATCCCAGCACATGCCCACACGCTGACGAGCTGGAGTGGGGTGGGGGGTAGGCAGGGGTAGGTGCTGATCTCTTGCTGATGCTCGACTGGCTGTGCGCTGTGGGGGGGCATGTAGCTGCAAGGTGGTGGCAGCTAGGGCAGCAGGGGAGGGGGCGATAGCCGCAAAGGAGCTGCGGAGGCTCGTACATACCGTTACACGAGCACATGGGACGTGTGTTTGGGAGCGCACAATGTTTGGCCCCGCACCCCTCCTCTGAAGGGTACGGTACTGGTAGAGATCCGTACGGGCACGTTTCCAGTCCAGTACGGAAGGGCGTGGCTGCCGACAAGACAGGCATCATAGAGAAGCGTTCGAGGTTCGGTATGGGCTGCTGGGTTAGGTTATGGGGGCTATGGGGAGGATATGTGTTGCCCAAGTGCTGGTCTTTGACCGCCGGCATGATTGGGTTTGCCAGGCATGCAAGAAGCCTCTCGATGCTACATTTGTCTCGGTGCTTGCCTTGTACGATCCAATTCAGTCCCGCTGCAATGCCCCGTTCCTTCATCCCCCATACGTTCCGTACTACGTCGTTGAAAGTGCCCGCGCTCTGCATGCGAGCATGAATGCGTTCGCCCACCGTCCCCAGCCGTGCTCGCCATCCACAACATTCGCATGCAAGGAAACGGCGGTGTAGCCGGCTCTTGACAGGGGCAGCGCCTGGGGCAGTGTCCGCAGCGTGTGTGTTTCTCACACACGCTGTGTCATGCCCCACCCCTCAGTGGCGCTGTTAGTGGCCCGGGGTTTTCCCGGGTCCCCCCCTTCCGGCCTCTCACCCCACCGCCACAGCAACCCACCGGCCTCATAGTACCGCGGTGCTCGGAACCCCCTGTCCCGCCGCGGCCTCCGTGTGCCGGGACAACTCCATAGTGCATCACACCTTGCACATCGCATGTCCTGGGAGGAAACTGGCCGCGAGTAGGAACCTACTGGGTAAGGGCCGTGTCAGCGCAGCGCGTGGTCACACTAGTACTGTAGCTCCGCGCTTTCCTGGGTTAGAACGGTTTCGTACTTACTGTTGGGGTCACCGGTGGGTGGCTCATAGGGGTTGCCCTGGGGTATGGCAGCGCTTTCTGCCAGGCGCGCCTGGCACAAGAGGGGACAGTTGAGATGTTGAGAGATGGAACCGCTGTGTCTGGGCGCACAAAGAGGGATCATGCGCTGGCAGGGTGAGTGAGCGCATGGAGTTGTTTGGCCGCAGCGAATGGGCGCTGTGTGCAAGTGTCAGTAATTCGTGTGCGAGTGTGTGTGCAGTCCCGCACGAGTTGCCTTTAGGAAACACGAATGCGCCGGCCTAGTCCCAGGCTGCTGACGCCGTGAGCGACAGGCGTGCCGTAACCATCACGTTTGTTCTTGTCGTTGTTGGAGTCTTTGTTGGTGGGGTCGTGCAGGGCGGCCTTCCTGGTCCTCGCAGCTTGCGGTCTGGCAGCGATCGGCGACGTAGGGCCGCGGCAGGAAGGAGGCGGGGTCGTGGCGTTATCTGGCCCAGTGCTGTGTGCGTTATGGGTCGCTAGGGGGCAGCAGCGAGGATGATATGTGGATCTGTGTTGGGTCGACGGGCCGTCATGCAAGCATATAGACGGGGCAACCACTGCATCATGCATGCATGGGATGACAAGCCACCTACCCATGCCTCGTCCGTGTGTTATCCCACTTATCCGTCGCTTATACTCGAACGGCGGTGTAGCCGGCTTTGACAGGGGCAGCGCTTGGGGCCTCTGTCCCACCTCCCAGTGGCGCTGTCAGCGGCCCGGGGTTCTCCCGGGTCCACCCCTTCTGGCCCCACCCCACCGCCACAGCAACCCACCGGCCTCATAGTACCGCGGTGCTCGGAACCCCCTGTCCCGCCGCGGCCTCCGTGTGCCGAGACAACACATATGCTATCATACACTTCTCACTACTCACCATTACATTACTTCCCATACATATGGATATGCACCATCAGAGCATGCAAGGAAACGGCGGTGTAGCCGGCTCTGACAGGGGCAGCGCCCGGGGCAGTGTCCGCAGCGTGTGTGTTTCACACACGCTGTGTCATGCCCCACCCCTCAGTGGCGCTGTTAGTGGCCCGGGGTTTTCCCGGGTCCACCCCTTCCGGCCCCACCCCACCGCCACAGCAACCCACCGGCCTCATAGTACCGCGGTGCTCGGAACCCCCTGTCCCGCCGCGGCCTCCGTGTGCCGGGACAACTCGCATACCATTGCATCATCCACCCATCTCGTACGCCGTGTGAAGGTGTCCTACAGGCACATCTTCATAGAGCACTGCGGCCACCACCTCCTCTAGGACCTCCCTCTTCATTATCGCCGCTCTCCGCCACCTGCCACCTGCCTTACCAACCCCCTCTTCAATGCCGCCCTTCATTGCACCACCCCTTCAAACCCCCGTTTATTGCCAGTCACCACATTGTGTATTCCTCTTTTCCCCCGTCAGGATCCCACCGAGGTACTGGACAAGTACGGAGCCGACGCGCTGCGACTGTACCTCATCAACTCGCCCGTCGTGCGCGCAGGTGGGTCCATGCATGCATGCGTCCATGTCGACCATGTGGGAGTGTGCTGCAATGCTACGGTGTAGGGCTTACTTGGTCTACCGGCAGTTTGGGCTTTTGCGTCTTCCAGCGTTTGGCGGTGTGTGTCCTTAGTCGCCTGGTACCAGCTCTGACTCCTTGCTGCCCTGACTCCTTGCTGCTGCTGCCGCCCCCAGAGACGCTGCGGTTCAAGGAGGAGGGTGTGTTTGCGGTGGTGAAGGACGTCTTCCTGCCCTGGTACAACGCCTACCGCTTCCTCATCCAGGTGGGGTGGGGGGAGCTGCTGGGCGGGTTCGGGTAGCTGCCTGTGGTGGTGGCGGAGGGTCGGTGCATGGGGGGATGTCAAGCCAAGTTAACGAGGGCGCAAACCCCCACGCCGATAGTAAGCCCTCTTCCATCGGCCCACCTGTCTCCATACCCTCGCCCCTCCTTTACCCCCCTCGGCTGGTTCCTCTATGACGCCCACCCACCCACCATGCCCTGTTATCGCGTTACCCCACCGCAACCCCACCATGAAGCCTACATGCCATACAGCTCGTCAGTCTCTTACACCCCAACCCGCCGCCCAACCCACCGCCCCACAGAACATCCTGCGTCTGGAGATGGAGACGGGCGCCCGCTTCACGCCCACCCCGCCCGCCCAGCTGCGACCCACCAACGTGCTGGACCGCTGGATCGGAGCCGCATCGCGCTCGCTCATCGCGTACGTGGCCACTGAGATGGGCGCGTACCGGCTGTACACGGTGGTGCCGTACCTGGTGAGAACGTGTGCGTGTACGGAGTGATGTACGACAATTGGGTTTGCTACTTTTGCGCGGTTTTGCGGGTTTCCTCATCACCCTCAGAGCCCGCGTTATCTTGCCGCTGCGATGGGTCCTGGTCGGGTGACCCGTGTTGTGTGTTGTGTTGCGTGGGAGGGAAGGAGAACCCATTGCATGTGTGCTCCACAGCAATGCAACCCTGTGACTCTTCGTTTTCTTTGCACTTGCCACTCTCCCTTGCTTTCCTGTCTGGTTTCCTGCGGGGTTCGGTCTTACCTTCCTTCGCCTCCCCTCTCACCCTTCTCAACTCCCTCTCTCTTCCCCTCCTCCCCCCCCAGGTCAAGTTCATCGAGAGCCTCACCAACGTGTACGTGCGCTACAACCGCAAGCGGCTCAAGGGCTCCAAGGGTCGCGAGGACACCGCCACCGCCCTCTCCTGCCTCTTCAACGTGCTGCTGGATGTGTGCAAGGTGGGGGGGCGGAGGGGAAAGGGTGGAGGGGAGGGGGCGGAGGGAAACAGGCGGCACAGGCGGTGTGTCAAGCTAGGGTTTCGTATATCCCCTGCTGCCCTTGTTCTTGTTCATGTACAGTATCCGTACTATGCTCGAATCCCTCTCTCCCCCCCCCCACCCTCCTACACCCTCCCATTCCCCACCCTCCCTCCCACCCTCCGACACCCTCCTGTCCGCAGGTGATGGCCCCCTTCACCCCCTTCCTCACCGAGTCCATGTACCAGAACCTGCGTGCCGCGCTGCCCGCCGGCGAGGCGCCCGAGTCGGTGCACTGGTGCGACTTCCCGCCCGTGCAGCAGGCGCAGGAGGGCGACGAGCGCATCCAGCTGTCCGTGGACCGCATGCAGGTGGGGGTGGAGGTGGGGGGTGGGGGGTGGGGGGCGGGGCGGTGTTTAGGAGGCTGGCCGCAGTCAACTGGCCCCGTGGGTGTTGAGAACAACTGGGTGGGGTGGGGGGTGGAGGGGGCCGTGGGAATGGAAAGGTTGGAAGCAGGAGGAGTTAACAATTACAATTACGTACTATCACTGCTTAGTTCGCATGTGGTTTGCCACCCCTTCATCCCCTTGCTTCGTATGGGGCCTCGCAACCGCCACACCTCTCTGCCATCATTACAGCGCGTCGATGTGCTTCCACCGAGCTCCTGCAGCTACCTCACCCCGGCCCTCCTCTCCCCCCTCCTGCCCCTGCTCCTCTCCCCCCTCCTGCCCCTGCTCCTCTCCCCCCTCCTGCCCCTGCTCCTCTCCCCCCTCCTGCCCCTGCTCCTCTCCCCCCCCCTTCAGCGTGTCATCGAGTTGGGTCGCACCATCCGCGAGCGGCGCAACAAGCCGCTGAAGAGCCCCCTCACGCGGCTGGTGGTGGTGCACTCGGACACCGACTTCCTGCAGGACATCCAGGGTGGGCATCAGGGGGGGGAGGGCGGGCGGGCTGGGGGAAGTGGCGAAGGGAGAGGAACTTGCGGGTTGAAATGTTGCGCCGAGGGCTAGTCATCCTAATCCACTACTTACTTCCTTACCCTTCCTCCGCTCTATTAGCCCCGCCCCCAGCAACCCCTAAACCATTCCTTTCCCTCTCCCGCTCCCCCCCTCAGGCGAGCTGCGGGAGTACGTGGAGAGCGAGCTCAACGTGCGCCGCGTGGAGGTGTGCGCCGACCCGCTGCAGTACGCCTCCCTGCGCGCGCAGCCCGACTGGCAGGCGCTGGGGAAGCGGCTGGGCAAGTCCATGGGCGCGGTGGCGGGCGCCATCAAGGACCTCACACCCGACCAGATCCTGTCGTACGAGAGCAGCGGATCCATCAGCGTGGCGGGACATACCCTGGAGGCGGGGGAGATCAAGGTGAGGGAGGGGGGGAAATTATAGATGCGTGCACCAACGCAGTCCCCATCCCGAATCCCGACTCATGCAGTGAGGGGGGGGGGAGGTGAGGGGGTTGTTGTGGGACTCTGGTTGGAAGGGAACGGCAGCTGGAAGAGGGGTGGAGGAAGGGGTGGGGCGCGGAGGGTATGGGAGGAATGTCCATCCCCCTCTTCACACCCCCCCTGCCCCACCCCCCCCCCACTTTGGAATTTCGTTTTTGCCCCACCCCCCGGCCCCCGCCAGGTGCTCCGCGACTTCAAGGTGCCGGAGGGCGTGTCCCCGGATGATGTGGACGCCAACGGAGACGGCGAGGTGCTGGCGGTGCTGGACCTGCGGGTGGACGACAGCCTGGTGGCGGCGGGGCTGGCCAGGGAGATGGTCAACAGGTGGGGGGGAGATGCGGAGTGGGGGGGCCAGAGCTGCTTGTCCTTGATACCAGCACTCCTCAGTACTCCTCACTGCCAGCATATGCCCGCCGCAATGCCGCGCTCCTCATGTTGAACCTTCTTCATCCGGCTACCTGAGCCCTCCGTTACTCCTCATCCCCCTCATCCTAAACCCCTCTTCCCCCACTTCCCTTCCCCTCCTCAGGTTCCAGAAGCTGCGCAAGTCCGCCGGCCTGGTCCTCACGGACAAGGTGGACCTCTTCTTCAACCCCGCACCCGAGCAGCCCGCCACCGCCGCCGCCCTCGCAGCACTCGTGGCGGATCACGGCGACTACCTGCGCGAGTCGCTCGGAGTCAATGTGCTGCCAGCCGCCGTACGACCCGCCTCCGCCGTCGTCATTGCGACGGAGCGGACGTCGATCGGCGGCGCCGACGGCTCACTGGCCTTCACGGCCGTACTGGCGACGCCGGCGGCGACTGTGCCGCGGGGTCCGCTGCTGGCGGCGTGCGGCGGGAGTGAGGAGCTAGCGGAGGCGGTGGCGGTGGTGGTGGCCTCGCGCGAGCTGGGGAGGTTGCAGGCGGAGGTCGGGGAGGCGGGCGGGGCGCTGGTGGTGCGGGTGAATGGTGCGAGTGTGACGTTGACGGCGGGCAAGGAGCTGTTCTTCTCGGCCTCGGCGGCGGCTGCGGCATTGGCGGGGGTTGAGGTGACGGCGAATGGCACTGCGTGAGGGCTGTGGGGAGAGGGTTTGGGGAGGGCGTGAGCGTGGTTGGGGTAGGATGGGATGGCTGGGGTGGGTGGGATGTGGATGGTGACGGTGGAGAGTGCATGGGCTTTTCGTAGAGCGTACGAGTGCAGGTGTGTGCAGGTGTAGGGCAAGGGCGGTGCGCTGTTGGGGGGGGGGGTGCAGCACAGGCCGAACAGAGTATTCTGGAACTGGGGCAGGGGTAGGGCTTTGGGACAACGATGAGGAGGTGGGAAGGCGGGAGGGGTCGGGTAGTTTCATAGAGATACGGTTCAGGAACATGGTCGGGGCGGTCGACGGGCGAGTTTCTCGTGCTTGCCTGTCCACTGGCGCGCCTCTGTCGTACCGGTGTGTATCCTTAAAGTGTCATAAGTAATTGCAGACCAGCAGACGGGGCCGTGTGCGAGCGCGCCTGCTCAACGACTCACGCACTGTCTATTTGGACGGCGCCGGGTACACAGTGTTTCCTTTACTGTCGTGACGAAGATCTATGAAATAGTTTCTCCGTTTTGTGGACAGCAGCGCGATTTTGTGGAGTACCGGTATACGAGCGCGAGTGACATGATGATCAGGACTGAATTTGGAACTCGGGACGCCAAGAGGGGAAAAGAAATGTCCACGCCGAAAAGGGCGTGCACTGAAGGTGCCTATGGCGCCCGCGTTAGTTGGCTAGATTAAGAGGATGGCGGCAAGAAACGGCTGGTGCTGCTCCGCGTTCCTGCTAATAGCCCGGGAATTAGGTTGTCATGTATGCGTCCGTTCCTCGCGTTCTACGCGCCTAAGTGTACAGCAGTACTGCATTCGCATACCCGACACATGGATTCTCTGCATTGAACACCTTGTTTCAAGGCACGTCTATAACCATTAGTCATGACCGCAACAGAGCAGCACCTATTACTAGACAAGTCGCTACGCAGCCGAAGTGACACGGCGTTTTGTTCGCCGTGCCTGTCTGCAAAACCCCATCCTCGCCCTGCCAGCCCACTGCGCTTTTCGCCACACATCTCGCCAAGAGGCACGCAGCAGCAAGCAATGGCTATATCCGCAACGGCTACCGGTACCCTGTCAAAGCGTCGTTCTTCGCAAAAGTCGAGGCAACGGGCACCTGCAGCACCACGGACGTCCTGGCCCGAGTATGATGGATGGCCCCCACGTTCAGTGCCCACCGGGTGTACTGGAGGGGCCATCCGTGCAGGCATCGCCACTCGGTACGGCACTACGAGCTCCTACGCTTCTCCCCAAGGGTCAGGAGGTGACGCAAACCAAGCCGGCCAGCCGGCCTTCGCCCAAACACGCCTGCGGCCATACACCGCGGGCCTGCTGGCACTCTGCCCTACCCACAGCTACACAACTCTACGCCTGCATAGACACGAGCAGACGTATGTTGGAGGCCGCATCCCCTTCACAGTCGTCGTACTGATTTCTGCTTCCCGCCCAGCTAACCACGCTAGGCTAAGCTAACACGAGGCCCACCTAGGAAAAATGGGCGTAATGCCTAGGCCGCCAACCCCTGCTCTCTCCACCCCGAGGACATCGCTCCTCCCCACTTATCAGCGAGGTACGGGTACTCGCTCAGAAGCACCCTACGCCGCAGCCGACCCCGTCGCCTCCCCCACTCTACGCCTCTCAACTAAACACCGACCCCTCCTATCCCCCATCGTCGGGGGCATGGGCTTCTCCCCTCTTCCCCTACCCACTACGCTAACCGCCTCACACCTGCCGCCCCTCCCACGACCCACCTCCTCCCCTACACCCACTTCCTCCCCTGCTTCCACCTGCCCCGCTTTCTCCCTCAAGCCACGGATCCCATCCTTCCTCGTCGCCGCCCGCCTGCTCCCCCCCTCTCGCACGCCCCACCCCTCACGCCACCACCGGCCCCACCGGCGACACGGGCGCCTCCAGGAATGACGCGCCCTCGCGGAAGTAGTTGACGCCAACCACCTTGTCCGCGCCCCCCGCCGCCGGCCCGCCAGCGGGCAGCACGTCCACCTGGATGCGCGCTGCGCCCTTGGCCAGCGCCTTGCCATCGGGCGTGAGGCGGTACTCGAAGATGCGCGGGTGCTTGAGGACCAGGTCGGGGATGGCGGTGTCTGGGGGGGGGGGGTAGGCGGGAGGGTGGGGGTGGGGAAGAAAGTAATGAGAGGTGGAGCACCGGGAAGGAGGGGCGGGAGCAGTGGGGAAACACCTGAAGGAGCAGTGGTGGGGAAAAGAAGGATATCCAATGTGTTGTGTGACGGGTGGTAAACCAGGTGACAAGCAGTGGTGGGGAGGGAGGGAGTGGGCGCACGTATGGTGGAGGGTGGTTGCAGATGTGGGGCAGGGGGTAGGTAGCCGAGTGGAGTGGAGGAGTGGGGGAAGTAGAAGGGAGGGGTTGCGTGGAAGCAGGTTGGGAATGGCGTGTGGGTGCCGGTGGGTGGGTAGGTTGGGCACGCACGTGTGTATTGGGCGGGCTGGGGGTGTGGAGTGGATGTACGAGGTGCGAGGTGGTGAGGGTACGACTGCGGGATAGCTGGGCGGTGCAGGGAGGTGCAGGGAGCTGGGGTGCGACCTTGTGCACGGCGTTTGCAGGGGGCTGTGTGGGCGCGCATGGACGCAACAGAAGGGAGGGACCGCAGAAGTGACAGGAAGGAGATGGGGACAGCAGAGGGGGCAGGGAGCCACACCAGGAGGCAACATGTGCACACATGGCCCGGAGTTGCAGCCAGCACAGAGCAGGACTGGCATGATTGCGCTGCTGGCTGTACACCTGCATGCATGGCTGCTGCAGCCGCGTGTTCGGGGGCACCGTGTCCCGCTGCCAGGTCCCATGGCGAGGGCTTTGGCGGTGCTCGCCCCGCTATGGTGGATGGCGGTAAGTAAGAGCATGCTGGCATCCCAACCATGTCAAACTTCCCCTGTGGGGACTGCTGCAAAGGCAGGTTGCGGGCTTCCGAAGCTGCTCACCTGGCACGCCTCTCCCCTGCAGGTAGTCCACCACCGACTTGATGCGCGTCTCCGGGTTCAGGCCCAACAGGACAACGCTGATGGAGGCCATGTTGCAAATCTCATCCTGCTTAAGGCCGATGCTGGTCAGGTAGTTGATCTGCAGGAGGGGAAAGCCGGTCAATGCACTTGTTACGATACCCAGAGGCCGCCCGACGCAGCAGCATGTCTTACCACTGCCTGAGCCCGCTCCTCTGTCGTCCGCAGGGACCCCTTCATCATGCGGTCGACAATTTGCTCAACCCAAGCTTTATCCCATCCTGCAGAACGCATACTCTCTTTGTCTCATGCTGTAAGGCAACGAAAGCGTCCCCAGGCAGTAGAACAGCAGGAAACGTACCAAGCGTCAAGAGCATCCGCTGGACTTTGTCAATGCTGAGCGGCAGCTTATAAGGATCCTTCTCAGACCATGGAAGCGGCAATTCGCCGGGAGTGTTCTTCGTGATCACGGTCTTTGTGTCGGGGCTCTGCGGAGTGACTCGCACAATTGTGCTCGTCCGCCTGCGATAAAGCGATCGCTCCAGTAATTGATGCCGTCTGTTCCATACTGAACTACGAAGAGCTAATCTCCCTTTTGATCAAGCGAAAAGACTAGGGCGCCGCACCTCGACGACTGGACGCTATGTGGCTTTGCGATTTGCGTCGATTGGGTGCGAGATCGAAACAATAGGCCTTCCCGGCCGGAAAGAAGGCAGGTGGCCATGCCTAACAAGCGCTCTAGTGTCTTTGGTAACTTGTGGGTGAGGTGGAAAGTAAGTCGGCGGATCCCTGTTGTAGTTTTAAAGCTTTTAAGGAAAGGCCTTCTGTGTAACAAAGTAAGCAGGAACCTGTTGCATTTGCCACAGGTCCATGGTGCAACGCGCTGGTTACCGTCGTACATTACCTCCGTCCAGATAGGCCATCTCTCTGCTCACTTGGATGTAAGAATACTTCCACTACGCTGCATTTGGTTACGCGCTTTGTTTTCGACGGAAATCCTTTGTCCGAATATCGTCTCCAGCATACGTGTTCCAGCATCTCCTGATCGCATTCCGAAGGGCTATAACCTTTATAAAAATACTAATTTGAAGTCTCCATTGGAGCACTAGAAAGTATATCAGTACCAAGGTGGAAGAGATCACGTAGCGCATTGGCATTGCCTCAACTCTCGCCCCGGGCCGGGAGGGTCCTGCCATGGATCAGGATACTAAGATACAGCAATACGTCCTTTTAGCCAAGGGTGCGCGTGGGCGAGGCTTAACCGACCTCATTGCCACGGCAAGCGCGGACCCCGCAATCTTTGGATTTGGGGAGCTTTTGGACGTCCCAAGCATTAAAGAGGTTAGGCTACATTCCTAGCTTCCTTGTCCGGCTTCCTAGCGCGCGGAAGTAGCCGACTGGCTTGCCAACGATAGGCTTTGACGCGCAACCATCCTGTGCTCCATCCCTTCCTCTCTATCCGTTGTCAGTTGCATTGAGCCCCGTCCTTCCCCCTCCCACCTCTCATTACCTTACACTTTCCATTTGCCCTACCCTGTATTTCGCCATGTTCCGTACATCCTGTGCCGTACACAGCTCCAAGGCACGGATCTGGCGCCCCACTATGCGCTGCTGCAGCTCTTCGCGTACGGCACCTGGGCCGACTACCTAGGTACGGCAGTGTGTACGACAGAAGCAGCAGTGCAACACAACGTAAAGAATCCTGGCATGCGGACAACGGGCTTCCTCCCACTCTATTAATTCCCCCTCCCTCTCTCCCTCCCCCCTCCCTGCCGTACTGCCGTACAGCCAACGCCGGATCGCTCCCTCCTCTGAGTCCCGCGCAGCAGCTCAAGCTGAAGCAGCTCACGGTGGCATCACTGGCGGCATGCGACAAGGTGGGGGAGTGGGAGGATGTGCTCAGGAAACGTACTGCCGCGAGTGGGAACGTAGTGGAGTGTGGGAAGTTGATGTCCCCACCAAAACGCCCGGGTGGGCCACGTGCATGGGTGAACTGAGGCGCGATCGGTACCGACCGCGAGCGTGGTGGCAGGAGGGAGTAGGGAGAGGGCGGTGGTAGTGGTGGTGGTGGTGATGGTGGTGGTGGTGGTGTGGAAGTGCCGTTACAGGCGAGGCAGTTGGGGTGGCGTCGTGGGCCGTGGGGGAAAGAGGGGGACGGGGTCTGCCATGCCGCCCTTTCCTCGCCTTTGTATTAGGCGCCCAAGCGCCCCTTACCTCCTCCCTTGCTCCTCTCCCCTCTCACCTCACCTCGCCGTACTGTTCCCCTCGGGATCTGCCGTACGGCCGCAGGTGCTGCCGTACGCCCGGCTTCAGTCCGCCCTGCAGATCGGCAGTGTGCGCGAGCTGGAGGACTTCCTGATCAACCACTGCTTCTACTCGGGGCTGGTGGCGGCGGGGAAGCTGGACCAGAAGCAGGGCTGCCTGCAGGTGGGGGGGGGGAGGTGTGTGTGAGGGGGGTAAAAATAAGGAAAACTGACGAACTGAAAGACGGGGCTTCGGGGGGGGGGCGGGAGGTGGGGCAGATGGGGGGAGGAGGAAGAAACTGGCGAAGTACACGAGTCTATCGGTGGATGGGGGGGGTAGCGAGAGAGGATTGTAGGACAGGGGACTGCTGGGGTTGTGGGTCGACGCAGTGGTCCGCCACCACCCGCCAGCACCCCACCTCACCTCGCAGCCTGGCCCACAGCGGCTCACCCCGACACCCGCCCCACCTACCAACCCCCCGCCCCCCTCACCCCCCCAGGTGTACGACGTGTTGGGTCGGGATGTCCGGCCGGAGCAGCTGCCCGAGCTCACCCGCCGCATGGGCGCATGGTGGGGGTGGGGCGGGGGGGTGGGAGGGGGAGGGGGTTGGGGAGGTGGGAGGTGGAGGGGGTGAAGGTTCACCGGGAGCGTTGCGATGGCCACCTAGGCCAACCCATCCACCGCTGAAGAGCCCACCCATCCGCCTACATCGCCCCTCCTACGTCGGTCACAGCAGGGTGGTACTCTCCGCCTCCCTACCCTTGCCTCCTCTCCTCTTCCTAAGGTTTGGTGCATATCCCCCCTTTCTCCCTCTCCTTCTTTCCGGTGCTGCACCTATCTTTAATTTCCCCTCTTCCCCCTCCCCCCGGCCCCCTCCCTCCCTGCCTCCCCCCCAAAGGATCTCCGCGGGCGAGGAGCTGTTGCGCGCCATCGAGGGCCGCGTGTCGTACACCTCCTCCGCTGCGGAGGCGGCTCGGGCGCACCGGGAGGAGCTGGAGGCGCGCGTGGAGGAGGTGAAGCGCAACATCAAGGTAGGGGGGGAGGGGGAGCGGGGAGGGGGAAGGGTGAGGAGCGGAATGTAAGGGGTAGGGGTAGGTATGGGCGTGTCCTTCCAACCCTTTCTCCCAATCACTGCCCCCTTTGCCGGTGGTTAACATCCCTCTTTCCCTCTTGGTTTCCTCTTTACGCTGTCCCTCCCTCCCCCCTGCCCCCCTGCCCCGCCCATCGATTCGGGGTTGGGACTCCGTTGATGCATTTATCTATATTTTTCCCCCGCCCATCCCTCCGCACCCCCCACCCCCAGGCCGAGGCTCGCGCCAACGACGCGCTGCTGGACGAGGGGTCGCTGCTGGACATGATGGAGGAGGAGCGGCTGGGGCTGGGGGGCGGGCTGGGGATGGGGATGGGGATGGGAGGCGGGCGGGCGGGGGAGGGCGGCGAGGGGGCGGGCGGCTCGCAGCGGAGCGAGCGGGCACCGGGGCGACCCAAGAGGTGAGGTTGGGGGGGGGTTAAGAGGTTGGGGGAGGGGTGGAGAAGGATAGGGGTATTGAATGAGGCTGGCAAACAAGTCGACGAGCTCCTGATGAATGGCATCATCGAGATAGTCGAGCCGGACTTGCCACATCTGGGGGAGGAGGGGGGAGGGGGAGGCAGGATGGGGTGAATGGACGGGTGGTTTACCGGTATGCTGGTTAATGCACCTTACCCTTGCTTACACCTCGCTTGTTTGCAACATCTGCTTGTCTCAAGCCCAATTTTAAACCGCCCTCTAGCGCGCTTGTCTCCCTCTCCCCCCATCCGCCCTACTGCTGCTGCTGCTGCTGTCCCTGAGCGCTGGCCGCCCCCTGCCTGCCCCGCTGTTGCCGTACTGCTTCCCGCAGCAGGCGGAGGTGACCGCAGCGGCCTCACGCGGGCCGGGGGTGGGGGGGAGGCGAGGAGGCTGCAGCCGGCCCGCCTCGCCTCCTGGGGGCTGGGGGTGGGGAGGCGAGGCGAGGAGCTGCTGCTGCGCAATCAGCAGGAGCCCCCCGTTGGGGTCGGGTGGGGTGGAGGGCGCTCAGGGCCACTGCAGGGGCCCTCCCCGACCTGCTGTCACTCACGCGCTCGCCTGCTGCTGCTGCTGCTGTTGGCGCCGGGCGCGCCCTTGCCTGCCCCCGGACGCCCGCCCGCAGCATGCAGCCAGGAGAGCCGCATGGGGGGGGGCCAGGGAGGGGTGTGGGTGCGGGTGGCCGCGTTGGGGTGGGGCAGGAGGCGGCAGGGGGGTCGGGAGGGGAGCCGCAAGGGGGGGGAGGCTAGCGGGTTGGCCACCCGACCCTGTGGGGGCTCTGTGGTAGGATGTGGTCGTGTGTGGTGGGTGGCGGCAGCAGACGGGAAGTGCGGTGCAATGTGCTGGCAGTGATGCGGGCAAGCGATAGGGGAGGGGGGCGCTTGTTGCGAGGGGGGAAGGCGGGGAAGGCGGCCCATGCAGGGGCAAGCAGGTGCGCGGATGCAATGAGGCAACGTCTGCGGGAAGGTTAGTTGGATAACAACATTGTTATTATGCCATTTTGAGTACACGCGGAAGGGGAGGTTGTAGAGACCATACGAAGAACGAGAAAGTTGGACCACTTACGGCGAAGGGATTCCGCTGGCCGGGCGATTGGCCAGTCCCTCTCCGTGAACCCAGTGCTAGGACCTGCCGGCCCAGGGGAAGCAGGGACGCGATGTCGGTTAGGTGGTTGTGTAACTGTATCTGGCTATGAGCTGCACAGGCAGCAGTGGGCTGCCGCTCCCCGCCCTGTGCCGACCTGCGTCGTACCAAATGGCTGTACGGCAGCTGGTGGGCCGGACCCCGAGAACGCGGAACCGTTTACTTGCACCGGGCAGAGCAGCAGCAGCTGGACTACTACCTTCACTAGCTCTTCACTTCACCACTAGCTCTTCACGTCCATCACTGCGGCACAGTGCTTCTGTGTTGTCGGGCCCCGTGGGCCACTTGCACACCCAGCTGCCACCTGCCAGCTGCAGCACACCAGCCGCCAAGGTGCAATGGAAGCAGGTGGTGAGGCAGCAGCCCTAGACTTCCAACCGACTTCCCTGTGTTTCCCTAACCCCTCCCATGTTGCGGAATGGTCCGTTGGGGCCTCCGCACGGGGCAACTAGGCTGCGCATGCTTCGCCGTACCACACGTGCGCATAGCTGTCTGGGGCTGCCCAGGCCTCAGAACTGCATTGGATGATCCCGACTTACCGGAGCGTGCCAAATGACCGATGCGAAATAGGGGCGTGTGGCAGCCCAAGACAGCTCCGAGCGTCTGTTGTACGACAAAGCATGCTCAGTCTAGTTTGCCCGTGCTTAAGCCTATGGGTTACAAGACGCCACCACCATGCCGTAGGAGTGCAGGGGCTGTTCCATATGTGCTGGGAAACCCTGCGAGCAGCACGGCCCCTGCACGGCCCCTGCTAAGTTGCAGACCGTTACAATAAGGCTTGTCCTGCATGCAGAGGGGCCGCTCGTGTTATCTGTTTTGCGGACCAACTCCGCAGACGTGGCCCCTTCTGGGCAACACGTGAAACCCGGCACTTCAATCCATGTCATCCCTCTTAAGCCGTTTGAGGGATGGCATCAGCAAACCTGAAACCACAACTTCTAGGTCACATCGCAACAAGTGAAAGCAACACATAACGTAACAAGCTAAAAGATACAGGGATCCGACACACAGCGGTCGAAGAATACGGAACCCGGTATAGTGTACAAGGGGGCGCCCCCTAACCAACACAATCGACGTGATAGGACTGGGTGCTGAAATAGCAAAATCGTTGCTTTGGCACACATTGGATGATATATTTTGGCTTACTAATCAAAGGTTTGGGCGGATATACTAATCAAAATTAGTCCAGCACACAAACAACACCTACACGAATATATCCTACGCGGACTTTGACCCGGCCACGCCGCAAATACACGCACAAAGTTTAAGCGAAAAACATACATACCTCTGTAACCGCGTACGTTGCCTCTTCTTCTCATACTCCCGTACAACACAGCTACCGGCACCTGTACCGGTAATAGCCCCTCACCCCAATCAGGACTGTATGGGAAGCTGCTTTACAGGATAAACAGGACTGCCACATAACGCCGTGCGTACAAAGTTCCGCTAACAACTAACTGCAATGTACGCCCATGCAGCCCCAACGGCAACATGTAGGGTTGCAACCTAAAACCCTATGCACCTAGCCGCCACTGCATGGACGTGCGTACACCTCGCGGCCAGTTTTCTTAACACACATACGCCAGCAGACCACAACCGCGGCCTCTCGCCCTCCTCCCGGCCTTTCCTACGACAAGTTGCCTCCATATCCTCGTTGACTCTTCCCATACATACCGAATGCCGCGTTCGCGCCTTCCTCAAGCTGTCCGCGCCCACACCCTCGCAACTGTCTGGCGGCTGCCTGGCCACATGTGCGCAAACCTCTGCTCGCCCTTCTTCCACCTGCACGTCCTTGACCCCTGTCCTCACCCTTCCTGACCACCCACGCCGCCGCCTCCTCCTGTGTTCTCTTCGCGCACCTTGCTTCCTGCGCTGCGCCCAGTATGCACACACACGGGCGTTGCTTCCTCCCTCCGAACACCTTATGCCTGAACAGCCTTTATTGTAAGATCCTCAGCAAAAAGGGAGTGAAGAGGAGAAGCACCAAACATGTTTCCAACTGACGGTTCCCTCTCGTGCGGCCAACACACCTCCATCGCTTCCTGAAGCGCGCAATTCGCCAGCACAACCAGCCGACGGCATTGCCTGCTGTCCTCCATCCTACACACCCGCCAGGGGTACTTTGATCCATCACCCCCACCAATCAAGACCCGTGCCTCCCCTCCTCCACCCACAACACCCTCCCCTCCCAGTCACAAATACTCTCCCCCCAAACGCGGAAGTGCAGCCGCAACCGCCGCATGCCGACCACAGACCACCGCCGCGGTGCACCTCCGTCGCTCGATAACACCCCGCGCACACAATCAAAAGTCAAGCGGGCGCCGACAAGTCGGAGACCTGCACCTTACCCCCTTTAGGGACATAGGGAGTAGGAGGGTCAAAACCGGCAGGCCTGCTTCCTGTGCCCTGCCCCGCCCGCCACCATCCATATCTTCATCATTATCAACACCTTCCACCCTTCCATCTTGATGGTCGCCATCATCACAGACCACTCGCACCGCAGCATGCCTTACAGTAACCTTCATTGACGTCTCCCAACCCACATCCCCGGCAAAGACAGCAACTGTTGGTAGGCGTCGTAGTAACAACACGCAAACATGAAAGAAGCAAAACCCTGTGCAGCACTACTGCATTCAACTGCTGCTAAACCGCTCAGTTACCCCTCCCCACAATCAAAAGGGACCGACGCCCTACGGTTTCCTCTTCTGCATACTCCCTTCATACTTCCTTCATACAACCCGCCTGCTCCGTAGCCTGCTGCCCCAAATACCCGCGGCCCTCGCGCACCGTGACTCAAGCACTGCGTCTTCACCTTCCGCTCTCCACTTCTCATTCTCACGTCACTATTTAGCCTCTCGCCCGCTCAGCTAGGCCCTATATAGCGTGTGAACGTCCTTTATTGTCCCTCCACACCTCTGTTCAGAGACACACACACGAACACATCACAGTACGTTCCTACTCGCGGCCAGTTTTCTTAACACACAAACCACTTTCCTCGGCACACAAATCAACACACAAACCAAACCAACCAAACCGTGGATGTATAACCATGGCACACGCGTAAACCGTACACGCACGCGTTTGCTCACCACTTGCTAATCCTTCCTCTCATCCCTTTTCGGCCCCCTCTGCCCCTCCCTCTCCTCCTTCCCTTCATCAATATAGGTTCCCCGCTTTTCATACGCAGCAACGGCTGCAGACGCCAACACCACTCCTCACCTCACTCCTCACCTCACCCCTCACCTCACCCCTCACCTCACCTCACGCTCAACCGCCCCGTCCCTCCGAAAGGACCGACCCAGCTGACTCATACCCCGACGAAGCCCCGCCAACCTGCGGCTGCTGCTGCAGAGACGTCCCCTCGCCTGCGACCATGACACCACCTCCACCACCGCTGCCTCCCTCCGTCACCACAAGCTCACCCCCACCATCACGATCACCCGCAGCTCCGTCGCCCTCAGCTGCGCACAGCGGCGCCGACGCGGACGCCACCTCCTCAACCTCCCACGCGCCACCGCTCCCGTCAGACACCTCATCGATATCCGGCACGTCCGCCGCATCATCCACCTCCTCCTCTCCTACCTGCACTCCCTCATCCTCGCTATCACCACCACCATGCGCCTCACCCCCACCCTCGCCGCCCGCCCCCCCGCCCCCGTCCGCATCACCGTCCATGAGGGCTGCACCCGCTGCTGCACCCAGACCCGCGCTCGCACCAGTGTCGTCACCGCTGCTGGCCGCACCAGGAACCAGCAGCCCCCCACCAGCCTCAATTGCAGCGTCCGCAACGCCCGAGCTGCCACCCCTAGAGGCTTGCTGCCGCCGTTCCTCATCACCTCCTACCGCTGCTGCTGCTGCCGCCGCCGTTGCATCCCTGACGCCCCCGACCGCACCTCCTTCGGCAGCGTCCTCCTCAATGACGACGCCGTCGCCTTCTGCCGTCGAGTCTCCACTCACCGGAGCAGCGGACCAGGAAGGATCGAACTGCAGGCCGCTACTGCTAGCGGCCCTGCTGCTTCCGTTGCTCCTGCTGCTGCCGTTACCGCCGGAGCTGCGGCTTCCGGCCGGTACGGATGACCCATGGGTCGTTGTCCCAATCCGGAGACTAACGCTTCCTCCCTCTTCTTCCATATCTTCACAACCCTCACCAGCGCTGCCGCTCCCACTGCTGCGGCTGCTGCGCCGACTGCTACCGCCCCCGCCACTGCGGCTGCCACCCCGGCTGAAGCCCCCGCCCACCACTCCACCCGCCAGGCTGCCAAGCCCCATAGGACCCCCTTCCGCAAGCGACGCAAGCCCCAGACCAAGCGCCAAGCCCAGTCCGATGCCGCCCCCCGGCGAGGAAGCCAGCCGGCCCGCCATGCCCATGGACGAGGCGCCAGCCGGCAGTGACGTCGCGAACGGCAGCGACCCAAGCGGCATGGGAGCGCGGTGCTCGTACGGCGAGCCGGTGAAGCCCATGCCGCCCCCACCGCGACGTACGGCCCCATGCAAGCCTTGGGGAATGGCCTGGGGGCCTGAGGGACCCCTCTGCGGCGCCGGAAGGGGCTCCAGCAGCGGTGCCGGGACTCCGACTGCTTCCGCTGGGCCGCCCGCGTCGTGACTGACGGTGTTGTCAACATCGCCGGCAATAACACCCAGGTTGGCTGTTGCGGCGGTGGATGTCGAGCGCAGTCGTTGTGCGGCTTCGGCGTGCTGCGCGGCTGGGAGAGAAAAGGGTGAAGCGACTGCCGCTGAACCGGCGCCGCCGGCAGCGGCAGCGATAGCGCCGGGAGCAGTAGCGCCGACGCCCCTGTCGTCCGGCACGGCTGCTGCTCCTGCCGCTGTAGCAGCAGCGCCGCCACCACCGCCCGTCTCCGACTCTCCACCAGCGGCAGCATTGCTCGCCGCTACGCTGCTGCCGGTGCGTTTGCTGGCTTCCAAGCCGCATCCTCCTCCTCCTGTTATGTTGGATGCTTTTCCTGGCGCAGCTCCGGAACGACCCTCGGCACCGGCACCACCACCGCCACCACCGCCGCTGCTGCTGTCCCCAACATCTCCACGCACGCCACCGTTCTGCACCCTGGACGCAGCACCCTGCGCTGCTCCCAACGCTACTTCGGGAGGAGGAGCTGCCGCTTCCCCTGCAACCGAGGCGGTCTTGGAGGCACCCTCCTTCCGGCTCCTGTCAACAGGCGTTGCCGCGCCCGCTGTCCCCTCCTCCCCACCATCGCCCCCGGCGCCTTCACCCAACCCCACAGCATCCACTGCTGCCGCGGCGCCGCTGGCGGCGGAGGCGTCGGAAGCGGCGGCGACACCCGCCTGCTTCGCCAGCAGCGCCTCCAGTGCAACAATGCGCTGTTCGTACGCCGCCGCCCTCGCCGCCAGCGCCGCCGCCTCCCGCTGCTGTTGCCTGATCAGGTCGTCCTTCATGCCCAGCGCGCGCTGCATAGCGGCAAGCAGCTCCGCGGGGTCGCGACGAGCTGACGAAGACGGCGGAGGCGGCGGAGGCGCTGCCGTACTACTGCCTGCACCGCTGCCGCCGCCGCCACCGCTTGCTGGTTCTCCCGTCAGCGACTTCCGTGCTTGCGGCGACTGGGGTTGTTGTGACCCATGGGTCGCGGGGGTCGCGGCCGGGGCCTCCGTGCCCGGTGCTGCAGTTGCTGCAGAGGGAGCAGGGATCCCGGCGGCCGTGCTCTCCGTGAGCTCGCGGATGGCGGCTGCCGCGATGTGGTTGGCGAGCTCGGCCCGCAGCCGGGCGTTCTCCATCTCGAGGGCTGCGGGTTGGGGCAAGGGGGGGGCACAGCGCACTGGGTTTTCAGCACCAGGTCAACAACGGGCAAGGTAGCGGCAGTTCATTCCTCAAGATCCGCGAGCCTGCGCGAGCCCATCCGGTTTGTGTCGAAGCAAACGAACACACGAGTGGCATACAAGCGGTGCCTTCCATCCTGCTCCAGCGTGACCTGCCACCCCACCCACCCACCTCCAAGCCGATCGGCTGGCGGAGGGGGGTCCGCATCCAACACGGCCACCGTGCTCTGCTGCAGCAGCCGGCTGCTTCCACTCGGCTGCAGCGGCGGCTGGGTCGGGTGCGGGTGCAGCGTGTGGTGCGATGAAGACGCGGAGGATGTGGGGTGTACGGCAGGAGGCCCTCCCCCTGCCGCCGTCGCTGCAGATGGGACGGAGGCGCGCATGCTGCTACTGCTGCCTCCTGCCGCTGCCGCAGTCGCTGCAAGGGAGGCCATTCGCTCGTCCAAGTACGACAGGCGCGCCAGGTCCGCCATGGTGACGTGGATGAGCGGTACGGCAGGCGAGGGCACGGTCACCTGGCAGTGCGGCGGCTCGGAAGACAAACCGGCGCGAGTGAGGAGGTCGGGCGGCAGGTAGCGAGCCACCTGCGAGTTGGGGGGGGGGGTGGCAGGAAGGTTCAGGAGGCACAAAGCATGAGGGATGTGTCTTGTGCGGCATCCGGCATGTGAGGGGGCCCGCGGCCGGGTAGGGTGCATTGGACAGGTGCCCACCATCCTGGAGAGCTTTACGCCTCCACGAGCCACTCGCTTACAACAGTATGTTTGATGAGCATTAACGGCAGCAGCAGCGGAATGCATCATGCCCTGCCTGCTGCTGGTTCCCCCAGCACCCTTGGTAACGGTACCTCCTTCCCTTCCAACCCCCAGGGCACCCTATTGCCGGCTCTTGCGCAGCATCCCCCGACACACCCCCGCTCCCCACCTGCGCTGCGAAGGCTGTCCTCCGCGCCGCCTCCTTCTCCCGAAACCTCGTCATGTGCTCCGCGAGCCGCCCAGCCTGGGGGGAGGGGGGGGTGGGTGGTGGAGGGTGGGGGGTGGGATGGGAGAGGACCACAGCGCCCGTTCGTGAGGGTGGGGCTGGGATGGGGGACACCAGCAAGGTGGTGGAGGGATGCCATGGTCCCAGTCGTTCCACCCCTTAGGTTCGTTCGTTTCTCCCTCCCTCTTCCCCGCCGCCCCCCCTCCATTCACCTGACCGCAGTACAGCTGGTGCCATGCCGCCCTGCGAACCGCCTCCGCCAACAGCGCGCGGTAGGCGGAGGGCAGCCTGAGGGGCGGGCGGGAGGGCACGGGGGGAGGGAGAGGGGGGGGGGGCGTAAGACGGAGGAGGTGGCTGGCAAGGCGTGCAGGTGCCTTGCGCCTTCGCGCCTTCCTCCCGACACACTCCTTTCAACCCCCCGCTCCAGAGCTTGTCGCCTTCTTTTCCAACACATTGGGCATTCTCCCCACCCGCACACCTGTGCACCCCAACCCCCAGCTCCCCCCACACCCACCTGTGCACCACCCTCAGCTCCCCGAACGCCGCGTCCTGCCTCCCCAGCACCTCGTGGAATGCCGCCAGCTTGTTGCGCATGTCGCGGATGCGGCTCTGCTGGGCCGCGATGCGCTGCAGCTGGCTCAGCAGCTCGCGGCTCATGGCCACCTTGCTGGCCTCCAGCCGCGACGCGAAGGAGGCCAGCAGGCCGTCCAGCTGGGCCAGCCGGGGCAGCACACGGTTGCGGTGGCTGGGGGGGAGAGGGGGAGGGGGAGGGTGGCGTTGAGGAGGAGAGAAGTGCAAACAGAGTCGGGCTGGTTGGTCACGACCTCTCAGCACCATGCAGACCCAACCCTCCCTCTTCGTACCTCTGCCTCATACTTTCCCCCCTGAGCTATCGCCGCCGTCCCAAGCAAAAACGAGGAGTAGAGTAGTGCCTGCAAGCCCAAATCCCCGCCCGGGCTCTCCTCATCCCCCTGCTCCTTCCCCTGCTGCTTCTCGCACACCGGGAAGGGCCTTACGTTCCCATCCGTCGCCCCAACTTACGTCTCATGTATTGCCTCCATGGCCGCCGCTGCATCATGCAACGCCCCGTGCCGCAACCCCCCTCCGCCGCCCGCCACGCCCGCTCCGCCGCCACCGCCTGGCGCCCCCCCACCGCCACCTCCTCCTGCCCCGCCACCACCACCGCCACCCGCGGCGCTGCCCAACTGCCTTACGACATCCTCTACCAACGTCCGTACGGTCCGTAGGTCCTTAGACAGCACCTGAAGTAGGGGGAGGAGTGCGCGCGCGGTACGCTGTACGGGAATATTTCGGCCAATGCAGCGCCATGAACGTCACGCCGGGTACACATGCGTGTTCTCCCCATGCAAGACGAGCTCCTGACGTGATTAGGCAGGCAGGGCCGGCCCCTGGGTCTTCGCGATCTCCTCCCTCCTCCCCTCCCTCCCGCCCCCACCTGCACCATGCTGCTGTGCTCGTCCAGGAGCGCCTCGTGCTCCGCCAGCTCCCGGCCCAGCCCGTCCAGATCCACACTAGGGGCCTGCGGGACAGGGTTGTACGGCAAAGTTACAACTACGGTACGACGACAAGATGAAGGCATGGGGTTAACATGCACCAACGCAGCATGGAGGTGTGTATGTCGGGCGGGATGGGGCTTCCCACACGGACGAGGCCATTATGTCTCCTCCCCGCCAAACATGTGGAACCCTATGGTGTGTCCTACCCTCCACGTCCCTCCCCCCCCCCATCCCCCCCCCACCTGCATGAACAGCCCCTCCACGTCCCTCCTCAGCAGCTGGAACAGCCCCTCCAGCTCCGCCACCTTGCCCCCCAGGCTGGCGTGGCTGCGGCCGCACGTGTCCGCCCACTCGCGCAGCCGGGACACCGGGTACACGTCAGCCAGCCGCCGAGGAGGGGGAGGAGGGGGGGGCGGTCGGAGGGGGAGCGGCTGCAGGGGCTGGGGCTGGGGGTGAGGAAACGCAGCCCCAGCAGCAGCAGCAGGAGGGCCGGGCCCCTGGCCTGTCTGGTGCTGCGGTGTGTGGTGGTGGTGGTGGTGGGTATGGTGGTGGCCGTGTTGGTGTTGGTGCAGCGGGTTGGCTTCCCCGCTGCGCTGCTGCTGCTGCTGCTGGTGCGGTGGTGGCGAGGAGGGCGGAGCTGCTGCTGCTGCCACTGCTGGGGAAGAGGACACCTGCGTGCTGCCCTCCTGCCCCCCCTGCAGCCCCCCTCCCTGCCCCTGCAGCCCCGGGTGCAGCTCGATGGCCTCCAGGGCCGCCAGGTCGGCGGGGAAGGTGGACAGCAGCACCGAGTGGGCCGCATGCTGGGCGTTGTACCTGTGGGGGGGAGGGAGGAGGAGGGGGGGAAGGGGGAGGGGGAGGGAGGGGGAGAGCTATGTGGGGTAGAGCGGCCTGAGGGGGAGAGACAGAGAGCTTCAGTGGGTTTCAGCCAGTGGGTTGGATTTCCCCGTGTGCACACCGGCCGGGGTTGCCGTACATGCTCGCGTGCGACTCGGTTCCCGTTTCGCTGCGCCGTCTGTTTTAACGGCGGCAAAGTACGGGGGCTTCCTCGTCAGGGGCGCACCCTGGCCCTGGACCTCAGCCTGGAACCCTGGTAGCCGTTGCGGGCTGTTGATGGCATGCACCGCCACCCCTTCTGCGGTACCGGCATGCACTTCCCGTGATGCGCCCTTCCTTGCCCATCCCCCTTGCAACACCCACGACACCCACTTGTCTAGGAAGGTCTGGTAGCTGTTAAGGATGTAGTTGAAGTGCGCCTCCACATTCGCCCGGGCCGCATCGGCCGCCCGCGCCTGCACCTCCTGCTCAGACAGCAGCTGCCGGCACCTGAGCAGACGGAATGGAGGGGTGAGGGGGGGAGAAGAAGTCATGTGAGGGTACAGCAGGATACGGCGGACAGCGGGGTCTCCTCCGCCGCCGCCGGCAGCACCCCCCCCGGTGGTCCTCCCCCGTGCCCACCTCTGCATCCTCGCCTGCGCCACGTCCCAGTACGCCCGGGTGGTGGCCAGGTGGTGCTGGAAGTGGCGCTCGTAGTCGGGCAGCGCGCGCACCAGCGGGCTGGGCGCCGAGTGCAGCGGGTGCGCCAGGTTCACCTCGGCCAGGGGGGGCACTGGGGGGGAGGGGGGAGGGAGGGGGGGTTGCATAGGCTGCGATGCAGAAGCCTGCTTGTGCTGTGAGGTCCCGGAAGTCATACTCGCGCCTTTACAATCCCAGCAGTAACGAGCAATGTAGCAAGCCTGTCGCGGTGTCTGCAAAGTGCAATTGTAGCAGGGTTGGGGATGCGCCAGGGTCAGGGCCAGGAGCGCCTGTGTGGCCAGCAAACACACACGCCCATGTTGGGTGTTGCCCTCATCCCGCCACCCTCACACCTCCCCGCCGGTGCCGTACCTTGCACCTGCAGGGGTGGCAGGGCCTCCGGTGGCGGCAGCGCTGCGCCGGGCTTGAGGTAGGAGCGGCAGTAGAGGAACACGGGGTGGTCCTCCACGGCGGCATGCGAGGAGGCCTGGGGGATGTGGGAGGGGGTGCGCAGTGGGAGGGGGAGTCAAGGGAATGCGTATTCAGGGTCGGGCCGTGCGTGTGGTAAAGGTGATTAATGAGGAGAGGCGGATTCCCAGAATGCTTCCTGGTGGATTCGAGTAAGGCTGTGTGCACCGAGGCCATGCGTCGAAAGCCACGTGAGAGGGGTAGCCGCGTGTAAGGCCGAAAACCGCAGGTTATGCTACGGCCCACAACTAGCGACCGCTGGGCCATTAGCAGCCCTAACCACTCAGGAAGCGTCGGCGACGGTACTCGCAACTCGGTTAAACTACACCCCCCGTAATAAACAAAACTTGCGAATAGACGATGGCGCAGGCTTACCTAGGGCACGTGCTCGACCCATGCACTCTGCACGCTGTGCATCCAAAGTCAAGACGATAGCAATTCCTAATTTTAAGAGACCAGAACAGCAAATCATGAACGTGCGCTACCCAGAGTTAGAATTGGAATTCTGTCCTGGGCATGGTCTGGATGAAGCTGAACACCTCAGCGCTTACCACTGGCAATCCATAGGCGCCCAGCGGCTTGGTCGGATCCAGTCTAGCGCCCTGGTACATAGCTATTTGGTCCGCCACGGGGATCCCCGTAAAGGAGACCAAAGCATGCTGCACCGCGTCCACCCTAAAAGGTAGGGCAGTTTCAACGAAAAATACCATATTCACAAAGGAATAATACACTTTGAGATAACATTTGATGTGGTTTCTTTTTTTGGGGTGACAACGTAAAAACTCAGCGTTGACAGGGCTAGGGTCAGCACGGGTGTTGCGGTTGCACTCACCCCTTTCCTACTTACGGACAGAATCGCTAGGCCTAAGACACCTTTAACGTAAGGAACGGGCTCACCGTGTTGAAGGCTGCACGTCAAGTTGCAGCGTCCGTCCGCTGTGGGCAACCAGAACTAACAAGCTCGCCATTTCTTGGGAACTACTATATGCTCTTCACCCACCAATTAGGCAAGGACAGGGGCGCTCTTATCATAGAGACAGGAGTACGAAGACGTGGCACACAGAGAGGATACCCTGCATATAGTTGTAGTATAACCGTATGGTGGTATTATGGATAAGTAAAGAGCTTGAGCCAAGATGAGTGAAGGAGCGCGGAAGACCGGTGATACGGTGAACCTATGAAGACTACGTACGGCGTTTCTCATGCATGTGCCTTGGTTGGTCGCAAGCCCACACGGCCCGGCAGAACAGCATAGGATTTAGAAGCACTTAGGGTTTTATGTATACAAAAAAATGTGGCTTAGGAGCAATTGGCCTGTCTTATACACTTTACCGATGGCTGTTCTTTGCCAAATTATACCTGAGGCAGCACCTTATTTCAAATCTGACTTCATGAATTTGGCTATGTAATTTTAGCCGCGGACCTAAAAGGGTCCAGCGGGAGATGTTTACCAAGCTAGCATTCCTCGTGCTTGGTCTATTGGCTGCATACGGGGAGCAGCTACAATGGGACAGCCCTTGGAAAAGCTCTCAATCTCGATCTCCCGAGCCACGTTCGTTTGCGTCGCTGGCAGGTAGCCGGCGCTTTGAGTAAAGGGCAGTCGGTGAATATGCCTGACATTCTGCTTGCCGTTCTGCAGGCATTGGGGGCAGTGGTGATATTTATTTCTATGGAGGGTTTTCGCATGCAAGAAACACTTGGCTTGATGAAGTTTGGAGTCTTCCGTGGAACGCGTCACAGCCGAAGTGGGAGCAGCTGTCTGTGGATAGAGGAGGTAGGGGCTCATACTCTTGTTCATCGTCGCATTGACGGCACATAATTGTTTGTCTTGGTCCACAATCTACTTACACGGGCCCGTGTCTGTCGTGGCCCCCAGACTTGGATGGACCCGTGCAGCATGCGACGTTGCTGTGGCTGGGCGGCAAGCTGCTGGTAGCAGGTGGGAAATACACTAATCAGACCTTCAACAACCAGCTCTTCGCACTGGACCCAGCGGATGCCCGACCGGCGTGGCGGAGCCTGAATTCCAGGGTGTGTGGGGCTAACGAAGCGTCAGCTGAAAACGGCTATCGGGATCTATTGGCGTGTGTGGGTATAAATTGACGCAAAATCCCGGGCCCAGGTCATTTGGCAAGTAAGGTGGCTGCTAGTTCCATGCATGTCAGCATGTGTACTGTACCTTTTCCTGTAGCCAAAAGCCGCAACTCCCCGCTGGCTCTCCTGCGTTCGCCCGTGATGCAGTCCACTCCCGCGGGGCCAGACTCCATGCCGCCGCTGTACTGGCACTCAGCGGTGTCGTACACGGTGCAAGGCTCAACCCGGGTGTTGCTGTGCGGTGGCCTGGACGCAAACGACATGGCAGTAAACCGCACCTTTGAGCTGTCGTACGACATGTCGGCAGGCTCAGCAGGCTCGTACAGCATAATTGACATGTAAGCAGCAAGCAGCGCTAGGAAGCGGCGCAGGGAGTTCGCTTGGCACGCGGGCTTGTCCCTGCATGCGCCTCCCTCGGTGCCTTTCTTGTGTGGTCAAGCACGCATGCAATCCTGTCGAACCCACCAGTGACTTCGTAACGCGTCATGCTCTGCCTCTGCCACGCCTCCATCGCGCCCTAGAAGCCACCTTATGCCGTCCGCTCCGCCTGCCCGTGCCTGCGCGATGCCTTCCGCTGATTCTTGGCGGCGGTTTTTCTCATGATACCCCGCAGGCCCTCCATGCCGGTTCCCCTCTTCGGCCACTCCATGGCAGCAGCACTCCCAGCAGGGGCAGCCGCGGACTCCCTCGTGTACGTCAGCGGAGGCCTCACAGGCAGTGTGGCAGGGCTGGCGGCCGGTGGAGTCATCCCTCCGGGGCTGCGGGAGGTACTGGAGGCCAGCACGGGGGGGCCTACGAGCACGTTGGCTGCCTCCGCAGCGGTGTTCCTGTTCAACCGGACTGACGCGGGTGCGGCTGGGGGTGCGGCCGGTGGCAGCGGCGGGACGTGGAAGGCGATGGGCGGTGCGGCAGGGGCCGACGTGATGCCGAGGAGCGCAGCCTTCCATGCAAGCTGGGTTAGAGGTGGGTACGGAGGTGGTGGGTGTGATCGGAAGGGATGCCGGTCGAAAGGGGCGTTGAAGCGGGGCTCGTGATAAACTTCGGTAAAGGGTTTGCGTGCTACTTGAGTGGAAATTGCAAGCGTGGTGTCGCAGCATACATAAACACGCTGCGCGGTGTTGTTTTCCCCTCTACCTTGTTCAAACGGTCTGCATGCATGCTAGGCGTGCTTGGGGATCCAGTCACATAAACATATAGGCGACGCCATCTGCATGCATTTTCGTATCCCCTAGTGAGGCCACTTTCCCGCGCATGTAAGACCGCCGCCCTACCGGCACTGCTGCTCCCGTGCGCTCGCAGGCTCCGTGCTCTACTTGTACGGCGGCACACAATCCGCTGCCGTACAGGCATCCAGCAGCATTGTACCGCCGTACGGGCTGCAGGCGTACCAGCTAGCAACCTCTGGTTCTGACTGGACGGCGTCGTACAGTTTGTCTGCCGTACATGACGCGGTTGCGGCGTGGGGAGCAGTGCGGCCTGGTGCTGTGGCGGGAGCGGCGGTGTGGGCTGGGGTGGATAGCACGGGGACACAGGTAGGGGTGCAGGTCTGGAGCGCCGCCGAGGCTACTTTGGCATAGGGCCGGAGTCGGACAGCCGAACAGTAAGCCAATAATGTCAGAACTGCATTTCGCAAGTTGTATTGTACTCGTTACATGCACTGAAGAGGTACTCGTTACATGCAGTGAAGAGGATTGCCGCGCCTGTAAGCTAATCCAGTGGGAGCCGGACGCGGTTGCATGGTGTTCCGCGGCTGTTGAGAGAAGGAATGCTTGCGACACGGAACAACCCCGATCTCCTCCCCGCCGCATATCACGCGTGTCCCCGCCCCACGTTCCTCCCACTCCACCAGCCACTGCTCTGGCTCTTCGGCGGTTGGTCCGCCCCCCAGCCGCTGCCTCTCCTGGCGGACTCCTACCTAGCACCCCAGGACAGCAGCCTGGCCTGGTGCCTCACCGCCGGGGACGGAGGGAGCAGCAGCAGCAGCAGTGCGGGCCGGTGGCGGCCGCCAGTGCAAGGCGGCATGGCGCCTCGCAGCGCAGTACCCGGGGGAGGAGGCGGGGGCGGCATGCTGGTGGTGGCGGTGACGGTGGGCGGCGCGCGGAAGCTGCTGAGTGTGGGCGGCAGGGCGGCGGGCGGCTGGAGGGGTGAGTGGCGGCGGGTGTGCCCGGACGTGCAGGTCATTCCTCTCCCTCGCAGCTCTTAGGCAGCGCGCACATGCGGATACTTAACCCATTTACGACCGTTCTCGTTCTTGTCATGAGAGGCTTCAAGAGATTATGATAGTGGAATAGGAGTAAGGAATAGGAATAAGAGGAATATATGTGTGTTACATTAAACTTTCCCGCCCCCGCCTCCCTTCATGCAGTCTCCGGTTCTGGCTTTGTGTTCGATGCCTCCGACCTGCACCTGCCAGCAGCAGCCGATGGGAGCCGGCAGGAGCCCCAGGCGCTCGCCACGTCATATCAGTTGTACGACATGTGGCTCATTGATCCCGACACCGGCGCACGCGATATGATCTGGTACTACAACAGCACTGCCGTACATGCCGCCGCATGGTGCAATACGTCAGCTACAACTAACAGCAATACCAGTTGCTCGTCCTTGCCGTACGGTACTTCGGTTTCGCCAGCTGCCCTGGGCCCTATGTGGGATCGGAGGCTGCTGGAGGCGCCTCCGGGGTCTGCTGGAGTGGGGTTGGGTACCGGCACCCCTGGCAGCAGCAACCAGGCAATCTACATGCACACAACAGAGGTGCTTGGAGCAGATAACACATCAACGCTGAGGACGGGTGTGTGGCGGTTGACGGTTAGCGTCGTACCGCTGCCTCTGCCAGCGATTGGGGGTGTCGGAAACGAAGGCGTCGTCAGCACGTATGTCGCAACATGGCAGGAAATGACCCCTGGGTCCGACAGCTCGGGGTGTTACCCTCGTATTCTGTACGGAGCCGCTCATTTGACGTCTACTAGCGGCGGCTCGACGACAACCACTGGCAGTCAAAAGTCGTACATTGCCGTGCATGGCGGGGTGCGGCTGATTGTTTCGGCCAAAGGCAGCGACGGCAGGCGAACTATGTTTCCTAATGTGACAGACAGCGTGTGCTTGCTAGACGTGGCGAATGCGAGGTGGCTGGGCCCGCCGCAGTACCCGGCAAAGATGGCTCCGGAGGTGGGACGCTGTGACGGTTGGGGTGTTCAACGTGGCAAGCGGAGAGGTTATTGCTCATTTCGTTCGGGAAATCGCCCTTCGTACAGCACGCTTAAGCCATTCTGAGCGATGCACGCTGTGTACACCATAACTACCACGCGTAGGGACCGTGTATAGTTCGTATCCAAGTACAGGAACAATCTCCTTTTCTCCTTCTTCCTTCCCAACTCCTCTCCCCCACGACAGGCTCGATACCGTCACGCCTGCGCCCCACGTCCGGGCACCGCCGACTACTCCATGACCTGCTACGGCGGCGTTTCCGCTGCCAGCGGGGCGGCGCTCGCGGACGCCTGGACGTTCATGCTGCAGCCGGGCATTGAACCCGGGCCCTCCACGCCCATTCACGCGGGCAGCTGGGTGCTGGCACCCGCCAACTACTCTGCTGTGAGGCCCGGACCACGTGTGGATCACTCCATGCTGTCTGTGAGAGGTGAGAGGTGTGCTGTCGGTGGGGGTGGGGGTGTAGGGGCCTGGCGCGGGAGTGGAGTGGAGTGACCTGGCTGACCTGGAGTACCGGTATACGCCGGCTCAGCGGGTCGAGCGTGTGGCACTGCGTCGCGATGTAGCCACCATCCTGTTCCCGATAGTCGGAGTAGTCACATTCCCCACGCTTACGTTAATTGACCGTGTCGCCGCATCGCTTCCGCGCTCTCCGCTCCGCAGGTAGCGCCGCTGCCCAGAGCTTCCCCCCTGTCATCCTGCTAGGAGGATCCCTCAACCCTGGTCCCTCCTTTGCCGATGACGGCACCGATGGTAGCGGTAGTACTGCGGCGATTACTGTACGAAGAGACGTGTGGATGCTAGACGCCGCCGGCTGCCCAGATCCCGACGCCTCGGATGCAGCGGCGATTGGCGGCGCGGGCGCGGTGATCACGGAGGCTCGGCCGCCGCTGGCGGCACAGGTGTGGCTGTCGCTGATTCCCTACGGCAGTTGGAAGAGCGCAGCGCAGGCGGCGGGGGCTGAGGAGTCTTGGAGCCTGGCGGCGGCCACCCTGATGCAGACGAATGTGAGTGGTGTGGTGTGTTGGGTGGATGTGGGTGCCCCTCACATGTGCTCAACTTCTTCTTTTGCGATTCCTCAGCATGGGTGTGGCTGCTTCGTGCATACGGGTATGCATATGGGGACCCTACAGAAGCCAAGCGCCCGAGGTTTAGGGCCCAACTTCATGTGCCATCGGCCGGTAGACGGCGTGGTCGATTGAGGAAGCAGACCTTCTTGGCTTGGTTAGAGCTGCGTTGTACCGTCTGTAACCCTGGGTTGCCTCATAGACCCTGTAGTCTTGCCGCATGCACGTTCCAGCACGTGCGTGCTTGCACACATTCACGCACATATGCAAGCCCTGCCATCACAGCCCTTTCCCGTTCACTCTGTTCTTTCGGGATCTCCCCTTCCGCAGACGTCTCTGGAGGTGTGGCTGGTACTGCTGAGCAGCGGGGCGCAGGGCGGCGCAGGGGACATGGCGGCGGTGCGGCTGGTGGCACCTCTGCCGGGTGAGGGAGGGAGGGAGGGAGGGGGAGAAGGAGGAGGTGCTGGGTGGGATCCAGGGGGCTCGCGGGGCTGAGGATGGAAAGGAGCCTTACAGGAATGCTCCGGAGGTAGGAGGGAAACGCACATGGAGGCGCATGTCCACGGTAGCACTTGTTTCACGCTGCCTGACTACTGGCATGCATGCATGCATGTGCATGTTGTAGTTGCGCAAACCTTTTAAGTGCTTGCAAGGTTGTGCACATGTGCGCTTTGCACTTAGGGGCATGCACTTGCGCGCGCGCAGGCTGTCTCTCCCTGCAGCCCAGCTGCGGCACAGTATCGTACACCTACGGCGACGCAAGTAGCCTGTGCTGGCCGGGAGCTGTTCCGGCGAAGGACATCCCGGGCATCCATGTACGGTCCCAAAGCGGAAAGCTAACAGCGAACGGTGTACTGCTAAACGTTGTTGGGTTTGTCGTACTGGATTCTGATGGAGTTGCCGTGCATGTCAAGGTGGGTACGGTGCTGTTATGGAGGTTGTGCATCTCATTAGCGTCTTTCGCCAAGTCAAACATCGACACGTGCTCACGCCATGAGGGTACGCCACCAATACATGCTGACTCGTGTGGTGCCAACCTTGCAGGACTGGTATTTTGGTAAAGACGAGTACCTTATAGAGGGCATCGTGTTGCCAGCTGACATCAGCTTTGACAGCTTGACCGTCGTGTCGTACAGCAAACCGTACGTGGAGATCGGCCGAAGCGTGGTTTCAGCCAACGGTACGGCACTCTTGAGCTTCAGTCGAACCAATCTGGTGATCCAGGTAAGCATGCAGTACGGCACGTGCCACCTGGAATTGTACCGGCAGTTGCATGTGGCTCACCAGTGCGAAGTCTGATACAGCGGGCTTGCTGGCAGATACGTGGCAAGTGCTATTCGCAACTGTGTACCTGTGTTGTTTCACAGGTGCACTCCCCAGACAACACTGCCTGCTCCCCAGACAACACTGCCTGCCCCAATGCAACGGTCGAGCTTCGAGTGTTTTACAACGGCTTGTACCGCAAGCGTCACTGCGACACCACCAACTGTGACGTGACCTCCACCAACAAGACGGGCCATGCCAGCTTTGAGGTGTTCCCCGTTTCCGCCAACCAGACCACACCCGCTGTGTCGTACGTGGTAAGATGCGGCCAAGTGTACCGTCAGGACTGAACGCTAGGGCACGGCATGTGTGGCCGGAGCTTCTTGGTGCTCCGTAACTTCACGTTTCTGGCGTATCTTCTCATCCCTATCCCTGTAGCCAGGGTGCGAATATAGTTTTTGCAACCGCATTCCACAGCAGTGCCGTCACGATGCGGTACACACCCTCCGGCTCCAAATCCCTGCCGTAGGTCCTCATAAACACTTCTTACGCGTACGGCACCTACGCTGCCCTGGTCGCACCATCGTCCTCGTCTAAATCAAGTTCTATAACCCTGCCCGGGATGCCTCCTCCTCCACCCGACGGCCGTGTGGCCATCAACCTGAGCATCAGCTTTTATCCGGCTGCTACGGGATACTCCCTCAACCTGCCGTCAAGTTCTATTAGGTAGGGGTGCTTGCCCGGCTCGCTGTCCTGTTGCCAGCCTGCTACCACACCCTTGCCGACGCACGCAGCAGCAGCTGCCTCCCGTCGTACCGTGCTGAGCACGCGCTCCATGCCGCGGCGGCTGCCCTAACGTATGGCATCCCTCCCTCACGATGATGACTTCCTTTTTTTAGGAGCTGGACGGTTGGCTTTAGCCCCGTGTCCGAGACCAGCATAGGTGATTCCGAGTTGGAGCTAACAGACACCTACATCAAGGCCTCAGCGCCGCATGCGGTTCGCTTGATGCCCGGATGCAAGATGGTCCAGGTAGGGAGGCGTTTGGGGGTTAGCATAGCCGTTTGGTGGAGCCTTTGGCTTCGGGGAGCAACGTTTATGGGTTCCTCGCTCTTTCGGCTGTACATGTGGTAGAAGATTACAATGGGTTAATACCGTATACAGAACTGCATCGTCAGCCCGGAAGCAGCGTTTGCGGTTGCCGTTTGCAGTAGGGGGCAGGCATGGCGGGGGAGGCTAAGAGTTCTACACTCTAGGCAACCCGGGAGCCACAGCAGTTTACTGCAGTCCGGGCAGCTGGTTCCCGACTCCCCACTTGCCGTACGTATCCTCCCGCGCGGTGTGACCCATGGGTCGGAGCCTCATCAGCCCTACGCTCCCTACCCACCGGCGCCACCGCTTCACCTCCCCTCTGTTCCCCCCCAGGTGGTGGACTCCTCCCTGCCTGCCGCACCCTTCCTGTTCGAGGGCTTCCAGCTCGTGGATGCCCCTGCCGCCATGACCCTGCGAGTGCCGCTAGCAGCCGTCAAGCTGCGCCTCTACTTCGCCCGGGTCATGTGGCCCATATCCGGGCCGGGCCCCATCACCGCGGCGGGGGTGTTTGTCAAGGTGTCCACCGTGAGTGGCGCGTCCGTCGCGCTCTTGGACGCGCTGGTGAAGTCCGGCGGGGAGCCGCTCCCGGCGGACAGCTGGGGCAGCAGCGCCGTGTACGGCAGCGTCACGCCCTGGGACGAGCTGGACAGCTCGAGCGACGGATCCGCGGTCTTCAGCCTCCTGCCAGGGTGGGTGCCGGTGGCTGGCGCGGTGACCTGCTTGGGCTGTGCGGGGCGCTACTCCGCGTGGGCGCCAGTCTGGCGGTGGAAGGCCACGCAGCATCGTACCCTCTGTTACGTGCACAAAGATGTAATGCACAGAATTGTGATGTGACGCGCTTGAAGCTATTGTAACCTTGGTGAAATTCTTAAAGCGCTAAACCTGTTCCTTCCCTCCGTCCTGCGCAATCCTGCAGCACCGTACACCGGGTGGACCTGTCGTACGCCAGTGGCAGCGCTGAGGCCCAGCTGGGCAGCTACTACTTCAAGTCGCCCGCCGTCCCTACCGGCACCTTCACCTCCTCCTCCTGCTCTGCCGGATCCGCTCCTACTGCCACCAGCGGGAGCTCCTCACTCACACCTGGCAGCAGCAGCAGCAGTCCCTCCCCATCGCTTGCTGCTGACGGCGGTGTGTCGTACAACATCACCCTGAACTACACGCTGCTGTGTCGCGGGCCCGACCCCACCTACCTGCACTCCAACCAGGGCACCCTTCCAACCAAGGACACGGGCAAAATCGTCTACGGACCGGGTAAGGAAGGATTTGGGTGGGTGGGTGGGTGGGGTGGGAGCACAGCTCTAGGGTTGAAACCCCGTGGTAAGCCAGCTCTCACCCACCATGGCTTGCCTCTTCCGCTGCTCACTCGCCCTGGCACTGTCGCGCCTCGCGCCTCCTCGCAGTCCGCAATGCCGTGGTCGCTTCGTCCTTCCTTTTCCTGTAGCAGCGAACCGCCGCTGCAGCACTCCCTCGATGTCTCCGCCCTACTCGTTCGCGTGTTCGCACCATGCTACCCGGGTACCATATCATCCTCTCTTCCCAACACACACCTCCGCAGGCATCTCGTGCACATGGGTCATCTTCACCAACCTGCCAATCATCAGCATGGAGGTCAACTCCACCGGCCTGTCCAGCGGCGAAAGCATCAACATCACCCTGGATGATGGCTACGTCACCCTCAACGACACCTCGCGGCCCCTGCAGCTGGTGCAAGCCACGAACCAGTGAGAGCGCGGGGGGGGAGGGAGGAGGAAGAGGGTGGGGTTTTCCGGAACTGGCTGGTTGTGGGCTATTTAACGGCACCTTGGCTGCATGCTTGTTCTCCTCCTAATTTGAATGTGCTAGGAGGGAGTCCTAAAGCTCTGCCTTCCTGACGCGCTCCTCCCTTCCCCGCCCCCTTTCCCCGCCCGCTTCCCTCAGGGTGACCATCAGCTTCCAGGCCAGCCGCGCCCCCTCGGGCCCCTGGATGGGCACGCCGCTGCAGCTGAGCTGGCAGGCGCTGAGCGCGGGCGCCTCCATGCCGCCGCAGTTCATCATGATGATCGCGGCGTCCTCCGCGGCGGCAGGGGCCATGCTGCTGTTCCTTTGCCTCTGGCACTGCGTGGTCAGGCCCGTGCAGATGCGGAGACAGGTGGGGGAGGGGCGGGTTGGAGGGGAGAGATGGAGGGAATGGGAGGGCATGGGGTATAGGTCTGCGGGAAGGAGGATTCTGGGAGCTTTTGGGAGGTTGGCGTCAACGGTTGTTCCGGTGATTTGACCGGTCTAGTCCAGGCTCGTTACGATTGTACGACACCGATTGCCTTGTCTACATCGACGTGTGTACGGCACGCCACACATGTGTGCTGCCATGCAGGCTGCCGCCTTGGCATTGGTTGGCGCCGCCGGTGCCGCCGCCGCGGCTGCCGGCGGCGAGGGTGGCGGCATGGGTCCCCCCGGGAGCGGCCCCCGCGCCGTGGGGGCGCACCGCAACCGCGTGCCTCGTCGCTACCTGCGCATGATGGAAACCAGCGTCTACTCCATCAAGGAGGCGGCCGGCAGGGCGGCGTCGGCCAGTGAGGTGAGGGATAGCTTGTGGGGATTGGTAGCTTGTGACTGATGATGCGAAGTTGCCGGTTGCTCCGGTGTGTTGTCTATTACATGGCTAGAGTGGCGTGGAATATGCCTTCTCTCCCAGTTAACTTGCTTCCTCTGGTGCTGTCTTGGCGTTATCTGGCAGCGTGTGCGAATCCCCAAACACCTTGCCTTTCCTCGCCCTGTCCTCCGCAGCGCTCCAAGCCTCCTACTAGCAGCGGTGCCGCCCCCACCGCCAACACAACATCGCCTCCTACCACCACCACCACCACAACCACCGCGTCGACCACCCCGCCTTCCGTCTGCGTGCCCACACCCACACCCGAAGTAGCACCCGAAGGAGCTGCCGCTCCTGCCCCTACGCCTGCTGCGTCCGCGGACCCCGCAGCATCAGGCCTTCTTGCTTCCAGCGGCAGCCACCCCGCCAGCCACAGCGACCCTGAGGCTGCAGGAGGCGAGCTGTGCGCCATCTGCCTGTGCGAGTTCGAGGACGGCGACCGCCTGAAGCACCTGCCGTGCAAGCACTTCTACCACGTGCCCTGCATCGAGCAGTGGCTGGGCCGTGACGTCACCTGCCCGCTGTGCAAGGCTAATGTGCTGGAGGCCATGAGGACGCTGTTCGGGCCGCTGCCGCCCAGGAATAACAATAGCAGCAGCAGTAGCAACATTACCAACAACCAGAGGCAGAATCGGGGCGGGGTTGCCGGCGGGGTGCAGGTCACCCCTGCTTCTGCTGGCGACAGCGAAGATGGCGTCGCTGTGTATGTATCCAGCAGTGGAATTGGAGGAGTTGGCGGCGGCGGAGGAACTCCAGATGCTGTTGGAGGTGCGGCGGCGGCTGCAGCGGGGGCCGTGAATGCGGCGTCAGCTTCGGGTCAGGGCGGGGCGCCCAGTGCTGGTAGCGCCGGCGGTGGTGGTGGGGATCTTCAGATGGTCGTCATCGTACGGCAGCTGTCAGCGGGTGGAGGCGGCAGTGTGGAGGGCCCGGCTGTTAACGGCGCGGACGGTGGAGGCAACCAGAGCGCGGGTGCCGCCGTCATTGGGGCGCTACCGGGAAGCACGGACTCCTGGCATGGAGGTGGAGGAGGAGGCGGTGTTGCTGCTTTCCACTATGCCGCATCAGGATCACCATCCGCTGCAGCCGCGGAAGCTGCGATTACGCCCTTATCCGGCGCGGCCACGATTCCAACCTCGGCCGGTGTCATCGCCCACGCCGGCGCGGGTGGTGTGATCTCCGACATGGAGAGCTCGGTGCCCGCTGCTGCCCCGGGGGCACGTGCGGAGCTGCGTCCCATGCGGCGGCATATCAGCAACGACCTGGCGGCCTATCGCGACGGAGGAACCAGCTCCGAATCTGATTCCGACAGCGAGTCGGAGCAACACCACATGGGTACGGCACATCATGCCGCAGTACCTGGCACACAGGCGACATCAGCGGCCGCGGTTGGTGTCGGTACGGCAACACCTGGTCGGGCGTTTCACACCGCCGTACATCCTGTGTTTTCGGTAGCGGCTGCAACGGCGGTGGCGGTGGGGTCACCATATCCCGCACCGTCAAGCAGCATGAACAGTGCCGGGAATGCGTTTGCAGCACCAGCCATGGCAGGTGCAGCAGCTGCCTCTCTTTCAGCCTCTGCTGCAGCTGCTTCCGCTTCACCCGTTCCGGACCTCGTCAATCACGGGAACTCAAGCTCTCCGCGCGTGTTAGAGCTGATACACCGCTCCACAGACAGCAGCAGCTGCGGCGGCGTTGTGCCCGGACGGATGGGCGGCAGCTCAGCGCATGGCCCAGCAGCGCATGCGCCTCCCTCACCGAGGACCTCACTCTCGCCGGGGTCTGGGGCGGCGGCACCGCCAGCAGTAGCAGCGTTGCCGTCCCCTGCGGCGGCGCATCAGCGGCGTCTTCGGGCTCAGGAAGCCCAGATGGCCGTGGCTGCCGCCGCGCTCTCCGCTGCGGCTGCGGGCATCAGCAGCGGAGGCAGCGGCGGTGCCGGCGGTAGCTACCCCTATCGTCGCGGCATGGGGCCTGCGGGAGCTGCTGCTGCCCCAGCGCCGGAGTGTCATAGCCACATGTCAGCTGTGGACGGGGCGGTTGGCGTTGGTGGCGGGGCAGTTGCATGGACGGCCGTTGGGCTGCCAGTGAGGCCGTCACCGCCAGCTCCGGACTCCCCTGCTGCTGCCGCTTCGGCTTTCCTGGCTGCCGCTGCTGCTACCGCCGCAGTGCCGCTGAATTACCGCATCCACGAGAACCCGCTGGCACATGCGTCGACGGCTGACGGAAATGGCAGCACGACTGTGACACAGGCCGCGTCAGCAGCCGCGGCTTCTTCGTTAATGGGCGCCAGGACGACGGGCGCAAGCTCCGGCGGGATGGTATCCGTGCTCTTTGGATCCCCGGTTAACGTCCCCCCTGCCACACGACACCCTAGCGGCAGCACAGCATCCGTGTTCGGCAACCTGGCGCTGTCGCACGGTACGGCGGCTGTACCTGAAGTGTCAGCTGGAAGCGAGGACGTTGTCAGGGCGCTGCCGCCCTCAGCCCTCAGCCCTTCGGCGGCTGCGCGGCATGCGGTGTCAAGTCCGACCTCTTGTGGCGGCGGTGGGCTGGGGTCCCACGCGCAGCTGGGGTAATGGGGGTGCATGAGGAATGGCTGGGCAAGGCGAATTGCCAACCGTATATGTAGCAACAGGTATGTATGTATGCAAGCTAGGAACCGTCATCGCTCAGCTGTCAGGTTTAGCTGGATTGCAGCTTGTGGGTTCAAGGGCTGCGCATGCATCTGGTTAGAGATGGTGGGTTGATTTAAGCCGCGGAAAACGTGGTCTGGTTGGGCTTGCCTTTATTCCATTGATATGGTTACCGTGGTGACCGGGCATGGCGATCATTTGAGGGGAAGTGGTCGAGGCGGTTTGCGGTACGTGGAGCGTGTGAAGGAGACAGTGGTACATGCAAACTTCTCCGTGCATCAGGTTTCACAGTGCAACGGTTGCAGTTATAAACCAACAAACTGCAGATCGTGAAGAGAGCACGACCAAGCGGTTCACGGGTGATTCCCTCACTGGACATGCCTAACAGTGCTATCACCGTATCAGCTAGCCGACCGCATGGTGCATACCATTTACAGGCTTATTGTTGACCCCGTTCTTTTGGGCACTTTCACTCCTGAAGGCCGCCTGCCACGGTATAAATAAATAATAGAAGCTGACGCTGTCGCCTCGTAATCATTTTTACGGAGCATAAAACCTGACCCATGACGCGCTACCTTTGTTATCCAACTGTAGGAAGTTGTACGGTTGGTCAACATTCATAGCTAGCTGGTAACATGTAGTAGGACTGCTATGCCGATAGTGCCGTTGTTGTAGAGAACCAAGACAAGGTATGCAAAGTTAGACACGACTCGCGTTTATTCATTTCTGCACGCTGGTGGCTCCGTTATGTGCCTTACCATGGAGTTTAGCGATCAACAAACTTGCTGATGTCAGGTTGAGGAACGTGCTGGTGTGGAGTGTCATTACGGATGGATGCGTATTCTGTCGCGCCCCAACATCGGCTTGAACATGTAATGGCACTGAGGTCCGCACGGGTTCCCTCTCCTGCCCGCTTGGACAGAAAGGCGCCCCCTAGCCATCGCCGGATCCGATCAGCACCTCCCAGCTGAAGTACGGTCGCAAACTGCCGGAGTTTAATGGGGGGCCGTGTTGAAGGAGTCGATGTTGGAGAGGGTTCCAACCAACCTTGCCCTTGTACTACACTTCCAGCCCGTTCCTCCGTGCATGCGAGCCGTTAAACGGCAAAAAGCAAAACGTTTTGCGACCACGATGGGACTCGAACCCACAATCCCCGCCTACTTCCGTACGTGCCGGAGGGCGATGCCTTATCCATTAGGCCACGCGGCCGGTATGACGTCGGCGCGCTTCTCATCTTTATGTGCAGGGAAGGTACGTCAGCAGTCCCGGTACGGCATTGACCGCTTCAGTTGGAAGGGCTTTTGTCACGCGTGTGGGGCTGGGATGACAGCAAGGACACGCACGGCATTGCCAGCGGGCGCTCTCTGGCCGGGCAGTGGGAAGTAGCATGCAAGGGCTGGCGCATGTACGCCTGATACCAACCGGCGCGCGTCTTGGAGCCGCCGGATGACTTGGGCAGCACTTGGGTCTGCTTGCGGCCTTGGAGGACGTGCGTGTAGAGCGGAGGGGCCTACATGGCTTGCTGTTTACTCAATACGGCAGGTACTCCGATGGCTGGCGTAGGCATGCTCGCACCCCAGCATCCTAGTGACCGAACTGCTTACCCTCCAGCCAACCGGCCTCGCTCCTGACACGGTTGCCTGGTTGCCTCTCTCCTCTATCTATCTGTCATCTCAGGTGTGCACCATGCATCTGTGCATGTGCAGCTCTGCAGGGTCTGGATTCCAGCTAGCCATGTGCTCATGTGCAGCAGTAGCCTTCGTTCGACCCGCCATCCAGCCATATCGGGATGTGCAGCTGCCTTGCAAGCATCCGCCCCTGAACCCCTGAACCCGCGCAGAAGGCCAGTGGGACCCCCGTCTCCCCGCAAGCGTCGTGTTGTCTGCTAGGTCTTGGGGCATGTGGCCCGGCAATACAGGATGTTGTCATCGCTGCGGTTCCAGCGACGCACCTTGCCAGCCTTCAAGCTTAGGCACATGTCAACACATGTGTGCAGCGCCGAGTATGGGGGGCCGTGTTGAAGGAGTCGATGTTGGAGAGGGTTCCAACCAACCTATGAGTACACCTTGCCCTTGTACTACACTTCCAGCCTGTTTCTCCGTGCATGCGAGCCGTTAAACGGCAAAAAGCAAAACGTTTTGCGACCACGATGGGACTCGAACCCACAATCCCCGCCTACTTCCGTACGTGCCGGAGGGCGATGCCTTATCCATTAGGCCACGCGGCCGGTATGACGTCGGCGCGCTTCTCATCTTTATGTGCAGGGAAGGTACGTCAGCAGTCCCGGTACGGCATTGACCGCTTCAGTTGGAAGGGCTTTTGTCACGCGTGTGGGGCTGGGATGACAGCAAGGACACGCACGGCATTGCCAGCGGGCGCTCTCTGGCCGGGCAGTGGGAAGTAGCATGCAAGGGCTGGCGCATGTACGCCTGATACCAACCGGCGCGCGTCTTGGAGCCGCCGGATGACTTGGGCAGCACTTGGGTCTGCTTGCGGCCTTGGAGGACGTGCGTGTAGAGCGGAGGGGCCTACATGGCTTGCTGTTTACTCAATACGGCAGGTACTCCGATGGCTGGCGTAGGCATGCTCGCACCCCAGCATCCTAGTGACCGAACTGCTTACCCTCCAGCCAACCGGCCTCGCTCCTGACACGGTTGCCTGGTTGCCTCTCTCCTCTATCTATCTGTCATCTCAGGTGTGCACCATGCATCTGTGCATGTGCAGCTCTGCAGGGTCTGGATTCCAGCTAGCCATGTGCTCATGTGCAGCAGTAGCCTTCGTTCGACCCGCCATCCAGCCATATCGGGATGTGCAGCTGCCTTGCAAGCATCCGCCCCTGAACCCCTGAACCCGCGCAGAAGGCCAGTGGGACCCCCGTCTCCCCGCAAGCGTCGTGTTGTCTGCTAGGTCTTGGGGATGTGGCCCGGCAATACAGGATGTTGTCATCGCTGCGGATTCCAGCGACGCACCTTGCCAGCCTTCACGCTTAGGCACATGTCAACACATGTGTGCAGCGCCGAGTATGGGGGGCCGTGTTGAAGGAGTCGATGTTGGAGAGGGTTCCAACCAACCTATGAGTACACCTTGCCCTTGTACTACACTTCCAGCCCGTTCCTCCGTGCATGCGAGCCGTTAAACGGCAAAAAGCAAAACGTTTTGCGACCACGATGGGACTCGAACCCACAATCCCCGCCTACTTCCGTACGTGCCGGAGGGCGATGCCTTATCCATTAGGCCACGCGGCCGGTATGACGTCGGCGCGCTTCTCATCTTTATGTGCAGGGAAGGTACGTCAGCAGTCCCGGTACGGCATTGACCGCTTCAGTTGGAAGGGCTTTTGTCACGCGTGTGGGGCTGGGATGACAGCAAGGACACGCACGGCATTGCCAGCGGGCGCTCTCTGGCCGGGCAGTGGGAAGTAGCATGCAAGGGCTGGCGCATGTACGCCTGATACCAACCGGCGCGCGTCTTGGAGCCGCCGGATGACTTGGGCAGCACTTGGGTCTGCTTGCGGCCTTGGAGGACGTGCGTGTAGAGCGGAGGGGCCTACATGGCTTGCTGTTTACTCAATACGGCAGGTACTCCGGTGGCTGGCGTAGGCATGCTCGCACCCCAGCATCCTAGTGACCGAACTGCTTACCCTCCAGCCAACCGGCCTCCTGACACGGTTGCCTGGTTGCCTCTCTCCTCTATCTATCTGTCATCTCAGGTGTGCACCATGCATCTGTGCATGTGCAGCTCTGCAGGGTCTGGATTCCAGCTAGCCATGTGCTCATGTGCAGCAGTAGCCTTCGTTCGACCCGCCATCCAGCCATATCGGGATGTGCAGCTGCCTTGCAAGCATCCGCCCCTGAACCCCTGAACCCGCGCAGAAGGCCAGTGGGACCCCCGTCTCCCCGCAAGCGTCGTGTTGTCTGCTAGGTCTTGGGGCATGTGGCCCGGCAATACAGGATGTTGTCATCGCTGCGGATTCCAGCGACGCACCTTGCCAGCCTTCAAGCTTAGGCACATGTCAACACATGTGTGCAGCGCTGAGTATGGGGGGCCGTGTTGAAGGAGTCGATGTTGGAGAGGGTTCCAACCAACCTATGAGTACACCTTGCCCTTGTACTACACTTCCAGCCTGTTTCTCCGTGCATGCGAGCCGTTAAACGGCAAAAAGCAAAACGTTTTGCGACCACGATGGGACTCGAACCCACAATCCCCGCCTACTTCCGTACGTGCCGGAGGGCGATGCCTTATCCATTAGGCCACGCGGCCGGTATGACGTCGGCGCGCTTCTCATCTTTATGTGCAGGGAAGGTACGTCAGCAGTCCCGGTACGGCATTGACCGCTTCAGTTGGAAGGGCTTTTGTCACGCGTGTGGGGCTGGGATGACAGCAAGGACACGCACGGCATTGCCAGCGGGCGCTCTCTGGCCGGGCAGTGGGAAGTAGCATGCAAGGGCTGGCGCATGTACGCCTGATACCAACCGGCGCGCGTCTTGGAGCCGCCGGATGACTTGGGCAGCACTTGGGTCTGCTTGCGGCCTTGGAGGACGTGCGTGTAGAGCGGAGGGGCCTACATGGCTTGCTGTTTACTCAATACGGCAGGTACTCCGGTGGCTGGCGTAGGCATGCTCGCACCCCAGCATCCTAGTGACCGAACTGCTTACCCTCCAGCCAACCGGCCTCCTGACACGGTTGCCTGGTTGCCTCTCTCCTCTATCTATCTGTCATCTCAGGTGTGCACCATGCATCTGTGCATGTGCAGCTCTGCAGGGTCTGGATTCCAGCTAGCCATGTGCTCATGTGCAGCAGTAGCCTTCGTTCGACCCGCCATCCAGCCATATCGGGATGTGCAGCTGCCTTGCAAGCATCCGCCCCTGAACCCCTGAACCCGCGCAGAAGGCCAGTGGGACCCCCGTCTCCCCGCAAGCGTCGTGTTGTCTGCTAGGTCTTGGGGCATGTGGCCCGGCAATACAGGATGTTGTCATCGCTGCGGATTCCAGCGACGCACCTTGCCAGCCTTCACGCTTAGGCACATGTCAACACATGTGTGCAGCGCCGAGTATGGGGGGCCGTGTTGAAGGAGTCGATGTTGGCGAGGGTTCCAACCAACCTATGAGTACACCTTGCCCTTGTACTACACTTCCAGCCTGTTCCTCCGTGCATGCGAGCCGTTAAACGGCAGAAAGCAAAACGTTTTGCGACCACGATGGGACTCGAACCCACAATCCCCGCCTACTTCCGTACGTGCCGGAGGGCGATGCCTTATCCATTAGGCCACGCGGCCGGTATGACGTCGGCGCGCTTCTCATCTTTATGTGCAGGGAAGGTACGTCAGCAGTCCCGGTACGGCATTGACCGCTTCAGTTGGAAGGGCTTTTGTCACGCGTGTGGGGCTGGGATGACAGCAAGGACACGCACGGCATTGCCAGCGGGCGCTCTCTGGCCGGGCAGTGGGAAGTAGCATGCAAGGGCTGGCGCATGTACGCCTGATACCAACCGGCGCGCGTCTTGGAGCCGCCGGATGACTTGGGCAGCACTTGGGTCTGCTTGCGGCCTTGGAGGACGTGCGTGTAGAGCGGAGGGGCCTACATGGCTTGCTGTTTACTCAATACGGCAGGTACTCCGGTGGCTGGCGTAGGCATGCTCGCACCCCAGCATCCTAGTGACCGAACTGCTTACCCTCCAGCCAACCGGCCTCCTGACACGGTTGCCTGGTTGCCTCTCTCCTCTATCTATCTGTCATCTCAGGTGTGCACCATGCATCTGTGCATGTGCAGCTCTGCAGGGTCTGGATTCCAGCTAGCCATGTGCTCATGTGCAGCAGTAGCCTTCGTTCGACCCGCCATCCAGCCATATCGGGATGTGCAGCTGCCTTGCAAGCATCCGCCCCTGAACCCCTG